GCGTACACACCATAGGATTCAACCTAATTATCTAATCTAGTATCCTATTTTCTCTTTGATAATTAGTAAGAGAACTTCACAAAGTAACACTATATAGTTTGATGGCTGATCAACATTACCACCTTATGTATTGGTAATATATAACCTATACTCACTTCATACTACAGTGCCCGTGATATATTCTTTGGTTTCCGCCACATTGGTTTAAACATAGTTATTTAAGCTCGATTGCGAAACAAGCTCTTGCAATTTATATTATATTAATCACTTTAAGTCCGCTTCCTGGAACCAACAAGTACTGGTGTCATTAGAAAAACATGGGCGTGACCCGAAAAGGACTGGAACCCATGATATCTGGGTTGAGAGGCAGACACATTAACCACTAGGACACCGTTCCCCTTCCGCTTGCGACACATTAAAGTAAAAACCGTTCAGTTTTTAACAGTTTTTATTGTTTTATTTTTTAAACAGTTATATATTTTCAAATTATCAAAAATTTAAAATTCCTTTTTTCTTTTATCCTCAAACACATTTTTACATTACTTCTACAAAGTTTTCTCTTAAACTGAAAATCCAAGACAGCACCCAAAGTTAATTTTTTCCAGAGGCGTGTGCAAAAACACCCCCAAAAAAGCTTTATACAAAATTGGTGATGAGTATTACGCAATTAATCAATGAATTGTTCTGGTAAAAATAAATTTTCAAGGTTTTGAAACTTTGGTTAAAATAGGTATTTGTCTGGATAAACATCGAAAAGTTGATGATAATACTAGTAAATGCAAGGACAATGCCCTGTAAAAAAGTGAGTTTAAAAACCGCTAACACCATGAATAAAATATAATTCGTTTACATACAAATCGCTTAAATGCTTTCCAATTGCTCAATAGCGTCAAAGATTATGTAGGCAGTGGTTTTACCATCACAATGTTATTAATTTCAATCAAACATTTTCGTCCCAGTACGCTGAATTGATTTCAAAATTGTTTGAAGGTAGATTCTTCACATATTTATTATACTTAACAAAAATAAAGAACTTTTGTTCTTTAACGTATTAGTTGGCTTTTAACAACTTATTTCTTTAAATCTGGAGCTTTTGGGGAATTTTTTTCACACATCATTGAACAAATTTACTTAAGGCGTTGTCTTTTCAGTTTAATAGAAACGTTTGAAGAAATAACATGAAAGTGTTTTTGAGGATCAAGGAAAAAATGGAATGTTAAAATTTTGGAAAACTTGAAGATTGGTATATGATGTTTGTGTATAATCTTTAAACGCCTACAAATTAGCGAGTCGCACGATGGGTTGTTCGTTGACCGCCGTTTGAAAATGTTTGAAATCCAAAAACGGAAGCACGGTAATCCAAACAGGGACAACACATGGATAGTTTAACTTTCCAAATGTTTTTAATCCACAGTGTTTTAGACCATGTACTTTTAAAATTTATATGTGCGTTGATTTAAATTCTTGGACCTGAGATGTTTTGGATTTCATTCTTAACAATGATCTTCATTATATTTTTCGTAATGTTGATATGAAGTAGTTTAGAAATTCCATGTGAAACAAGCAATTATCATAGTATTGCAAACAATCAATAATTCCCCTTCCGGATAGAACCCCAGCAACATTCTGAAGGGTCATTGGCCATTCACTTATGTTCCTATTTTAAGTAAATTTGTTGAAAAAGTTTTTTAAAAGTGATCACAAGAAACAGTTTTTATGTACAGACTGACAGACAGACAGACAGACTGAAGGACACTCTAAAGTTATGTTTTAAACATCCCTTTTATCAAAATATAACATTGAAATAAAGATGCAAGATGTCATACATGATGTGAGTGTAACAAAGAACAATTAGTAATGAAGGTATGAAAAATGAATGTTTTTTTTTTTTAATTTGAAGTAAATGAAAGTTAAAAGAACGAATAAGAAAAATTAAAAGTTTAATGAGGAGATATTTCTGGAAATATGGATGCTAGATTTATAAACCTTGTCATATTATTATGATGTGGGAGTTTGAAGAAAATCCTATCATGATTGAAGAAGTTGGAGTAAAAATTACCAATTTCTCGAAAAAAAAGTCTATGTTCAAAAGGGGCATAATTCTGGAAATAGTCTTGCTAGAGTATTGAACTTTCTCACAAATGTTGAGTGATAATAAGAAACATATATATGAATTTTGAAGTAGATACATTCAGAAAAAAAGAAGTTATTAAACAAACAAACAACAATTTTTTCATGAAAATTTTAAGTTCAAGGGAGGTAATTATGATACATTTTGTGCTAGAGTTGTAAACCTTGTCACATATGATGTGGTTGATGACTAGCAACTTATATTTAAAATTTGTAGAAAATACCTTTAGAAATAAAGAACTTATAGTGAAAAAAACATAAAACTAGAATCAGAAATCTTGAAATTCTTTCTATTTGTTGCCAAAGCAACCAGAATTTTCAACATAGGATGATAAGAAAAGGATGTGCATAATTTCCAGACTACCATCTACCAATATATCAAGTTTTATAAAAATATTTTCAGTACTTTTTGCGTTATCACTGGATTTTTATGTGTAAAATTTGCCATATTTTCAGTCTATTTGTTGCCATAGCAACCAGAATTTTCAGCATAAAAAAAGAAAAAGACGTGCATAATCTTCATACTGCCATCTATCCATATATCAAGTTTCATAACAATATTTTCAGTACCTTGTGCGTTATCGCGGGATCCAGTTTTGAGGACGGACGGACTAACGGACGGACAGACGGACGGAAGGTAAACCGGTAGGGGACTTATAAAGAAATAACAAATGTATTACAGTGAATAATTTTGGTAATTAATTTGTAAATTTTGTTGTATATTTGATGTTCACTAATTAAATGGCAGGTGCCATGGTGATATTAACCGGGAATATACGTGTTATTCTAACGATGGAGTTAGTGTTGTAGATTATATGATTGCTTCAACAAATGCTTTTCAGTATGTTAAAATATTTAAAGTTGCCCCGTTCTTCATTTTAGTGTTGTTATATTTGTCTGGTCCTTCGGGATCATTGATGCCAGCACATTTAAAATGTTGAGAATGGCATACCGCTCGAGTCGGTGCTAGGGGGCATGAGGATGTTGCATTATTACTCATGTGCAGACTAAAAAATCCGAGTCTGCAATTTTTCCGTTATTTTGTTGTGATTAATACGAAGGATTACTTTGTTTCCAGATTTTTAAATAAGATGATTCAGATCATTTCCCTGTTTGCTGTAAATAAGAATTAAAAATAGGAACACTTATTCAAAACAAACACATTACCATATATGATAAACTTAAGCTGGAAAAACAACTACAATAAAATTGTTTGTAAATAAATTACGGAACCTTTTTAAAAGCTAATACACAAAGGCAAGTTTTGCATTTTTATCAAACACAATATCGATCTTAAGACGTGAAAAGATAAAATACTTGTGCCATGAAATTGTTAAACATTTATAAAGGAATTTTGTCCACATACTGTTTCTATCTTATGATTTCGGATCATATAGTATTGACGCATCTTGTTGCGTTAGTTTATCGGATACTCTGAAGTAATGCTTCATTGCACGCCACACCTATTTCCTAAAAAACGCAGAGTAGATCCTTATTTGTTTTCCAATTTCATGAATATGAATATATCCGAAATGCCTGTATGAAAGAAATATGTAATTTTTTTGCGAATGACACATGCAACAAATCATTGCTGTCCGGTAAGTGCGCTTTTAAAAACTTGTTTTTGGTTCGAATTGAATTGTTTTAATTCATTTGCAATCTAGACATAACATTAACTTGAAACGCTCTTGTTTCTTTTTAATATGGAGTGCTGTTTAAATGTAAAAATGAGGCAAAAGCATTTCTTACATGATGCTACGCAGAAACGTCGGTTCAGCTACAGTTCAAACATAAACTAACAAATTTTACGTTTCCTGGCAATTTTATTCAAATCTACATGATATAGCATTCTCCAATGCAGAGCTTACAAAAATATATAATATGATAGCACTTTACATCTGTCGACACTAAAATGCTGCCTAGCGATTTATTATATAATTTTGAAGAATGTAGCCTGGCGCGAATCTACATACTTGGACTCAAACGCTTCAAGTAGCAGAATGTAAGTGTTTCAGGATTTGCTTCAGAATTAAGAAAATTATATATCACACCAACAAGCAGAAAATATAACGAATATCAAAGCAAAAGTTATGTAAACCCTCTAGGTCGAGTTTCAATGCAGCCGAATTACTTTATGAATTACTTTAAGCAGTTGATTTAGTTATGAATGACGGTATTAATGTTGCAATTGTTCTAGGGCATTGAGTCTCCTGGTAATTCAACAGCTAATTAAGAAAGATTGATATACTAGTATAACTAAGTTAAGCACAAAGTTAATAATCAACCTCGATCTTTCAGGTGGCTTATTAATCCCACTTTATGAATGAGCTTGTTGTAATACATTTTTTTAGATAAAAAGTATAAGAAGAAAGGATTTATATGTGATAAAGAAAGGTTTAACAACTCGGTACTTCGAAATGATAAATTTTGTGCAATAGCTATTTATTGTTTGCATAGCAGTTTTTAAGAAGACATCATGTAAGAATAGTAATCGGTCACTTGCTTATATATTATAGTAATTTGAATTTCATTATGCTTTAACTATAAAATACTTTTCTTATATGTGAATGAATCAATAATATTATAACGTAACATATGTCTGAAATTGCTATTCTTTAGTAAATGCAATGTTGTAAAGATGGAATTTTTACCAGAAAAAAGTCTTGATAAAGGTTATACAATAAAATGCATAGGAAAGCAATACTTTCTATTTGCATTCATAAATTGCTTTGTTACAAAAAAGCGCTCTAACCTTTGAAATAAACAAATAATTATAATTGTGTCAGGAAATTATTGAAATAAGAAATAAATATAGAATACTATGTCGAAATAGTCCACCAATTTGACAGAAACAAAGATAATAAGATGTTCGGATAAAAGCAAGTTTATTTCCATTGCATTGTTTTACTTACAAATAAACAACATTTGTTTGTACTAACCAACGATAGGAGCCCCCGAGACTGTATCTGTAAAAAGAATAATATGTGCTGAAGCATTCGAGTGAATACGATATCTTCTTCTTTCGAAATAAAAATGTTTGTTAAACAGTTTCAAGTCTGTTCTTTCCCTTTGTTTTCCTTAATATATTAACAAAAGCAAATATGGTGTCCTATGCGCATTAAAAAATAATACGCAAGTTGTCAAATATGTTCAAATGCAGTGCTCTAATTACAGAGTATATTAAAAAGTATAATGTATAATAAATCAAGTGGAATGTACTCAGTATATGACTTGAAGTGTTTATTTCAGAACAAAATGAAAAAGAATATTCGAGTTTCAAAGTAAACATTAGTTGTCAATTGGTATGACATTTACTTTATTTTCACACTATTATTTATTGCGCTTTATTCGTATTGCATTATTGTTTGATTTGGTTTTAAGGCACATCTACAGTATAGGTTATATGACGATGTTCCAGCTTTACTGATAGATGCAGACCTCGGGTGCCTTACCGTGCATTTTTTGAGGCACGATCGGACACCTGAAAAGAACCACCGGCGTTTCATAAGCTAGCTGGATAGCTTTCTGAAAGTCTCTGTCGGGATTCGAATCAACAGCGGTAAGAGGCAAGTGGTTTAAAGTTAGCGACATCAACCACTTGGCCACGGACGCCTCTATTGCATTTATTAATATTTGTTTACTTACTATATTCACATAGAAGAGGATGTACTTCCCCCTTGTCAACTATTTTACTGTAATGGTGAGACACACCACAAGGCACATTTTCCCATTTACCATTTTCGTAAGGCATTAAAATAACACAATTGTTGATATTATTATTATTTGCATGACTTTGTATCCAATTGGTAAACTTGACGGCTTCGCCTGTACAAAGATTGTCATAGAATTAGTTGCAATTGCAAGAATATATAATGTATCTTATTAGTAATCATGTAAGCTCATTCCATATAAACACTGAATGTAAAATAAAGTTATTTCCCATATCTGTGTAAAGGTTTTCATAAAGTCATAAAAATTCAAAGAAGTATATAAGTCGTTTCCTATTTTTTCTTGGTATATAAATGATTATTACCCCACACCTTTTTCGTAATGTTTATTTCCCATAGGAGTTATTCTTACTGTTAATGCAAGTGTACCACGTGACTAAGAACTGTGTACTGTAACATAGGTAACAGTACTTTTTAACAGTATAAAATCTGGTCACGTGGTCTTTTTCTAAATAAACTGATATAAAATGACCGCCGTTTTTCCTCTTTTTATTCTTATTTTCGACTTTCACCAAGATAGGACATCACCAAGTAAGTATGACATACATAAAATCTAGTTGTTTGCACCCTGGAGTGCTTTTCGCGTATAAAATATATTTTTGTTTAATAATCAAAAAGTAAACATCATCAACAATAGCATCACTCGATTAAAGAATAAAAGGAAAAGAAAACTTCTCAAGTTGGCCTAAAGTACACCTAAAAATTAAAAGGTAAGGACAGTTTAAATATTGTTACTCTTGATTTATTTTGTTACAGTTAGATTTAGTTGTCAATTTCAGATCATCATAGTATTTTGTTTGGGGAAATAAAATAAATAACACATGGGTTTGTGAGTAACAGTAAAAATAACATCCCTCGTAAAAATAGTGTTACTATCGGTTATCCCTCGGGTAACAGTATTTTCCTCAGGATTATAATTTAACTGTTATCCACAAACCCATGTGTTATTAATATAATAGTTGTGCTTATCTATTTTTAGTTTTTCAAAGATTTTTTTATGTGCACTCGTTATAAAACAATAATTTTATAGTACCAAACTTTGAATAAAAAAATATAAAAATAAACATAAGTAAAAAATTTTTGCTATATGGTTGAAGTAATGATACCTGACGTCCAGTAAAATGTTCCCTCTGAAGCCATGTCACTGAGCCCAATCCAAATTGGACTGTGCGGTGAATACCGCTGCATAAATCCCTGAATGAACGCTTGTTCTAAAGAAGATTTAATATTTGCAAGATGACCGCCTCTTTGCTTACAAACATCTTCAGCATGTTGCCAAGCTATTGCTACATTCGAAACAAGCTCGTAGCAACTGTGTCCAAATTGACTTAAAATTGCATTATCTTTGTCAGCCTGGTGGTGAAGTTTGAGTGAACACAAGTTTAACTGTCCTGCAAAGTAAGAAGATCTACATGTTTATCTTCAGAAGAAAATGCATTATCATTTTAGGAAAAAAATCAATTCATTTGTGAATATATTTATTTATGTATATATATTATATATTATTTGAATATTATACTTGTTCAAAGAATTTTAAATCCTAGTCTATTTGAAATACACTGATTTGTTGTCCAAAATATGTATTGATATGCTATAACATTGTAATATTGAGCAGTGTTTTAATACAAGTATATTATCTTTTCTTTTAATGCGAGTTACGCTTGTTTAACAAACCGTTATTCAAGCTGTCTTTGTTTTGAGTGTGTGTGTGTGTGTGTGTTTTTCTGTTCTTTTCTTTTTTTGTTGTTGTTGTTTTCTCAGAGCATTATGTTATATTTTGTAATTTTCAGAAACTATTTAAGTGATCATCTTTTTCAAGTGATTAAAGGCCATTTCTTTATCAAACAATGTCATTTCGATGTCCGACACCTATTCAAGAGAAAAGAAATGATTTCTTCAATGTTCGGATTGTGGGACTTCTTTATATAGGGCCGTCCTCGATCGGTATAGCAGAAATAATTTATTTATAAACATATAACCTTAAAAATAGCTTAATATATGTTTTCAAAATATTGCTTTGAAATATAAAGTACATACCATCCAGTGGATCATAAGTATCTGAAATAAATAAAAAAATATCATCAGTTACATTTTATCAACATACGGTGTTTCGAAAATATTTGAGACATGTTTTAGTTATATGAAAAACCCAAAGCTTAGTTTTAATATTGAATCAGATCTAAAAAAGGAGGGACGTCTACAATTGAATGCAGTTAATGTTTGCTAGTGAGTAAAATAAATGCATCTTAATGCATATACTTTTAATACTTTCACTGGTGTTCACAATATCACGTACAAGGTTCAAGCAGCATATTTGTAACGGGAACATGCTCATGTTGCTTTAAATGACACAAATGAGGCAATATATTTCAATAATGCAGGGAGTTATTCACTTGGTTATAAAAAGAATGTCTTGGACAACTCATTTCATATGAAAATGTAGAAATAAAGAGCCAAATTCTACACATGAGGAATTTTTGGCACATATTAATTTCATACCATACTGACAGATGTAGGAATGGACAAAGCCCGTTTGCTGCTCATACCGGTCGTCAGAACTTCCGCAATAGATGTCATTCCACGTTCCGTTAGCCGTCATATACACACAGTCTTCTTTAAGATGGTTCCATGTCTGTCGATGGTCCTTCCAATTAGTGTATGTGACTGGTTCACCTGCAAAAAAAAATATTATTTAGTCTATTTCAGACCCCTTAGCTAACTTTTGCTAATAAAAAATGATTGTTCACTTGATCCTTTAAAATGTCTGCAAAACAGAGTAAGGTGCGAGTAAATCCATATTTGAGATTGTAAAACAGTTCGTTATTCATTTGCTATTGCTTAATTCTTTACATTTTCACTTGGGAAAAAGTTTTTCTTGCATATCAGACTGGCGTTTCTGTGAGTTTTACACATGCCGGAAATTTCATCTAGCATGGGGGGGGGGGGTGCCAGATGAGTCGCGTGCTGTACAATGGCACGCTCAGGATGACGTCATTTTTTTGTTATGAATGAAGTTGTAATTCATACACTGTTGTAAGAAAGTAGTTACGGTCGTTATTATATAAATTTCCATTGAAATTAAAGATAAAGAATTTAAAATATAATGGAATATGGTGGAATATGCAAGAAAAAATATCTGACATATGTTTGCGGTTCGGATCGGAATAGCCTCGTTACTGCCAAATGGGCGGGTCACCTCGGGACGGATATTCCGATCCGAACCGCAAAATATATCAGATATTACTATTCTGTTATTGAATACTGGTATGTCCGATGTAAAATATTTAAATACTTATTTACTGTTCGTTTTTAAGATATTCCCTTTGTTTTAGTCCGATACAAGCTCTCTTCATTCATTTGTTTTGATTAAAGATATGCATGTACTTTCCTCACCTGTGAGTAAAATATTAATATCGCCCAAACCTATTAAAGTCAACAAAATTCTTACTGAATATGTTTAATTTGAATAAAGAAATGTGCCACTATGTGTGGGAAGTAAAGTTGGTCCTTTGGTTTAAAAAATAAACTGCCATTTTTATTGACATTTTGTATACATATAAATTTATATCATGTTTATCTACAGTGAGTAGAGTTTTGAACAAAACATATCTACTTTGTGTGAAGCTAAAACATGTTTATTTTATATTTACAAAGAGACTAAGTATATAAACTGATTGTCATTATTGTCGGTTCAAAACCCCTGTTTTATATTAATTTTTATTTTATTTTATTCATATATTTATTCAGTTTTCTTGTTAAATAATTTTATTCAACTGTTTAGCTTATCAGTAAAGCTATCATAATAGCAACTTAATTAAACCACAGGGTCAGTTTTATGAAAAAGGTTTACTTGTCTACTACAGGCAACAAATGGTGTTTCAGATTGAAATGATTACAGCATTTATGCCATCATTTCTTTAACTTTGTAACAAATCTCCATGAATCGAAATATCAATATAAGACACGGATATTTACCTGATGTCCATTCAAATTTCTCCTCCGCGTTTCTGTCATGGAGTCCTAACCATATGGTATGACTCTTGATACTTTCAAGATAGTGAAATAGGAAATCCTGCTCCTCTTGGCTTCTTATATCAACTAATTGACCCTTTTTGCTCAAACAATTCTTTTCCGCATGTATCCACGAGACTTTTGTTTGAACAACTTCGTAACATTTGTTTCTGAATTGAGCAAGCGTAATTGATGGGGTATGCTTTGCTTCCGACTGTAAAATCACAGGGCAGAGATTTGTATGACCTATGAAAAATGATGAATCAATTTCTAGTTTTGGTTTTAACATTATGATTACATTTTCAATAATAAACCGTTCAAGACATTGGTTTTAACTTTCTAAAAAAAATAGAGACTTATGTATAATATAGATTTTGTCTACATTTCACGATAAATGCATGTGTTATAAGCTGTAGTTAATACTTTTACGAAAGAATATCTATAAACATTGCGTATTTAAACACTTTATTTTATTCAGACTGTACCTTCTATTAGTGTAACAGTTGTCTGAAATGTAACTCGTGGTGTACTTGGCAAAGTGCTTGTAGTGACAACAGTTGTTGATGTCTTAGCAGACGTTGACGGGGAAACGGTTGTTGATTCAACAGTAGTAACATTTTGTACATAATTGCTTAACGGTGATGAAAATCTATCAGTAGTTGTTGGAGGAACTGTCGGTTGTGTGACTTTAATTTTGAATGGCGTGCTTGAACCAATAGTGGACCTTGATGTGGAATTCATTGCAATGAAGCTCGGTGTAACTTTCGTTGATGAGGTGACTGATGTAACATTCATTGAAGGATTTAATGTTGTCAGGTTTGATGGTGCTGTTGAAGATGGTATCGCTGCGCTTAAAGTTTTTGAACTAGTGAAAGGTATAACTGTTGATGCTTCGGGAGTAGTAGTGGTAACATTAAATCTTGAAACCGTTGTTTGTCTAACTGTGACAGGTTTGGTAGATGCAGCTGTCGTGGTCGTAACAACAGTTGTTCTGGTGCTTGAGGATGTTGTGGGAGAAAGAGTTGTTGTGGAAGGCACTGAAAATATACGTTTGGGGTTAACTATTAATAAAAAACTATAAGAAGATAAGCAGATTATTTAAAGGTTCATTATATTAATATTTCTTTTTTTTTCAATAACAGGGTTTTCTTCTGCTACAATTTTTTAACATAAGGAAAGTACCACGAAGCCACAACGAATTTTAAACAGAGAAACAGTGTTCACATGTATACAAAAAGACCTCAGATTTTTGTTTCGCTCAGAGTTTTCACTTTATGAAAAACACAATTTATCCAAATCATTAGTATTACCAATTGTCACCTGAAACCGAACTAACAATACTAAATTATATTGGACAAGTTGACAGCTGTTTAGCAAATGCAAACAATAGAATGATATTGGTACTCGACGATGTATAATGATCTCTTTATTTCACACGATCAATTCCTAAACAGAAAACATAGTAAACAGTAAAATTAAGGAAAAACCTCAATATATTATATATAAGATACAGTTATTTTGAGTACAATACGAATTTAATACGGAATTGATTGACATGGGGCTTAACTGAAAAAATTACATGATAAAATTAATACATTTATCCTCGTCCGGTATGCTCCCTGGACATGTTTGTACTTGTAACTGCGCATCTTCTTCAACAAAACCTAACTGAAACAAAACGTAAAATTTTATGTTTAATGGTCATTATCAAATGTGCTGTAGCTTTAGTGAATATACTCCCCTGAAAGTAGTCATTCTTGTTTTGAATTTTATTAAAAAAAGAAACATCCTCAAATAATTATAATAATAGACCCTTGAAATACTTTAATGGAAGTACCATTTGACAGGAAATATATTTGCATATTTGTCGGGAAAGAACATTTGAGATGTCCTTAAGTCTCCGTAACATATGTTTATTCAAGTGCACCATGTGGATATTTTTTCAATTTATCAAAATGCATCTAAAGATCCACCGTCATGTTCTTATTTGAATCATTTCTTAATTGATTATCAAACCAGCTTTAATCATCAATTCAAATGTAAAACATAAAAATAAAATGGCAAATACGAGCAAGTAATACATATTTGACTTTAAAACTAAAGAAATAATGAATGACATTAGACTCATACCTTATGTTCAAATGCTAATGCCAACCAACCACTAGCTGCTGTGACCCCAGCCGATGGTTTACAGTCAAACTCGTACATATATCCTAATAACTTCCCACTACTGGAGGTCTGTTAAAAATTTAAGCATGAAATAAATAACGCTGAAGTAGGAACCATACTTTGCTTATTATTTAATGATTTCTTATTTGACAGCGAAAGAGATTTATTTTGAAACTGTACATTAAATTTCAAAAGGTCAATTGGAAAAACGCTTAGAAGTTACTTTTTATTCACAATTCGAAGTAAGCCAAATCGTTTCTATTCAATCATCGGAAAAGGAAAAAAGGTGCTCTTGTATTTTGTAAAAGGTCTCAATATTTCCATCTTTGATATATGGAAATGCATTTTTATCTGATTTAATCTGGTTTAATTTACAGTTGAAGAACAATTAAAAAATTTGTATACAATTACCGTTTGAAAAACAGACTTTTCGACATTGTAGTTGCAAATACATTTGTAGTCGCAATTAACTCGTACTAGAACCGCGGATAGAATGGAAATGATGAACGTTAACATGCTTTCTGAAATGTAAATCGTTCAAAGTCATACCTTAAGACACATTAAGCTCTGTTCAATTTTTTACCCCTTAAAAATTTATGTCTTAGAATTCTAAATTTTTTTTAAATGAGTTTTAAAAATAACTTTTAAGATGAGATGCCGGAGAAAGTTACTGCATTTAAAAATTTTTTGCATAAAAAATACCAAATGTAAAAAAAGTAGTTTTTGATTTTCCCAAAATAAAATTTAAAAAAACTTTCTTTTAATTGTTTAAAAACAATGAAGCATTTGCAAATGAATATTTTTTTATTCTTTAAAAACTATAACAAGACACTAAAAATAAAAAGCTTTAACAAAAATAAAAACATTTCTTGAACAATATTGTTATTAAAAAAATCATTTGCTTAATAGGATGTAATTAAATGTTGCAATATGATTTTAAAATCGCATATAATCATTTATAAAGTAAATATTAATAAAATCAATAAATATCTAAAATAAAAGACTCAGTAAGCATTCCTATGATTTCTTCCATTCTTAGATTATCTTCCCTTTCTTTTCCATATATGTAACTTTATATAGTACATAATATTAATAAAGTAATGATAATATCATCTAAACCATCATGATCTAGCAATGTTATATAATAATGAATAAAAATGTGTTTATTATAAACCTAAAAACACATCTCAAATACTTATCATATAAACCCTTTGATGTCTATATCGACTTATTGTAACAACTTTTTTTATTTTATATAGACGTTACTTTATACCACAACGTATCAAGACCTGAAACTGTAATGAATAAATTATAATTTAAATTATTACATTTTAACAAAAATAGATTTTGGTAAGTATAAAAATCATACCTTTTGAAAAAAAAATCAATGTTGTTTTTTATCTTCTTTTCAGTTACAATAATATAAGCACTAAGTATGATAAAGATCTTACTTGTAAACAAAGACTTTTTTCCATAAGGCCACTATTTTGTCACCTTACTTTCAATAATACTCTATTTTTTCACCTTACTTTCAGTAATACTCTAAAGATAATAAAAACAAGGACTGTTTAAATTCGTACAAAGATTAACCTAAAATATCATAATAGACCTAATTTAAGGTTGTCTATATGTTGAGTTACACTTTGAGACCTCTTCTAGCTCCGTTCAAAGCCAATGTTCTAACGCAGCGCCAGTTCTTCTATGACCAATTTCCATAAAAAACTGTTCAGATATCGCTTTTTGAGATGCCGTTATATATTTTGAAAGAGAAATTTAATACAATATGATTCATAGAAAAGGAGGATAAAGTATAAATTGGCGCTTATTAAAACATTTTCAAGTATTTGTAAATAAAGTAGAGTATAGGAGGATTAAATAATAGAAATATTTTATAACTTTAATGGCTCTGGACCGATGTAATAATAACAATAACTTGATGAGTGGGAAAGTCACTTGTCACTGCTTTAACATGCAGAGTAACTGCTATACACAATGTGTACGCAGATTCTTTTTTACTTCGGATAACTATTCGATTTTCTTCTCATTTTTATAAAATTTTGATAAACCGATCGTCATGACAGGCATTTATATGGTCAATATTTGTAAGTATATAACTTTTAAGAACATAATTTCTCTTTAGTCAGTATTTTTTTTGTATGTTTATTTGTTTGTTAGCTTGTTTAAAACTCCGACAGTTTTTGGTAATATCAAAAATTACCATTTTCTCAGCAAATAAGCTATATCTAATCCCCGGGCATAAAAAGAAGAAACATTTTAAAATATTGTTTGAAAAAAAAAATTTTACAAGGGGAATTTTTTTGCGCCAGGGTCTGACCAGGAATGCTGCTTTAAAAAACCCATAACCTCCCTTTTTCAGCGATAAATTAAAAATTTTTGTCGGTACAAACCTTGCGTCTCCTTGTTTCGCTTTTACAAAAGGGACTTTTATAAAGAAATAATTATTCATAAGTTGTTTGATTCAATATTATTTGTATTTTGATCAGCCAAAAAAAATTTGCGTGTATTAAATTTACGGGAAAAAACATTAAATTTCAGAAAAATTATCAAAAACCCCTTAAACCTGGAAATAATAGCCCTTTTTCTACCGGACTTATACGTTTGCTAAAAAAATTCACATCTTCACCCTTTACCCCCAAAAACTTAAACGTTTCCCAAAAATTGCAGTTTTGGGGTTATTTATGTAAAGAATTAAGTAGATTAAGCTTAGTGATAACCAGTTAGCGTTATGTAGTTAAAAAAAGGTAAAAATATATGTTCAGGGCTGTAACGGAGGCATCCGAAGATATTAATCTGTAAAGTGCAAATGTTTACAAATCGAAAGAACAAAATTCATACTAGTATATAAAGTACAAACTAAAGTAAGGCGATATATAAGGTCCTTTATTTTTTATTTTTTGAGATGCCAAAGATTATGTATTGCAAAGACAAAACAATTCCAAGAAGACCTAGCCAATAAAGGAAGGCCCTGATACAGTATCTGAAAAAGAAAAATTAAATTTTAGATTCATGAATAATTTCAAATGATAAAGAAGTATGTATATAGATAAATTTAAATTTTTTAACTAAATAATAATGTCTTTCAAATCAACCCTTTACCAGTCTTCCTTAGAATGTAAATCTAAGAACTCCGATGAGTTTTTCACATATATTCAGTGTTTGGTGTTAATTATCTGAAAAGAAGAGATACACCTTTTACCATAAAATAAGCAATCATTCCATGATAACAATATATTTCATATTGATTAAATAAAGGCTTAATTCGGGCTAAAATTATTGTTCTTTAAAACCAATAATTCGCTATAACCGTGCTTATCATATCAATCTAGGATACATATCGTAGTCAATCATTGTATACATTTTATATTTGTTTATATTATTATTGATGTTGTTTTTGCATTTGTGGATAAGGAATTAGATTTTTATTTCCAACGTTACAGTTTTCATTTCCGTACCACTTGTTATAACGATAATAATATAATCCTTCAAATTTAAAGCTTAGAACATTTTATTGATTGACAATTATGAAAAACTTGCTCACTGTATTGACAAAGAACGGGGTGAACTTCACCAACAGCATGGCTATGATGGTGAGAGGATACTGTATGTCCGCACGGGATATCGTCCCACTCCCCATTTTTGTACGGAATAAACGCAACACAGTCTTCAACACTGTGATCTACAAAGTTACTCAGATGTCCTGGTACCCAGTTAAAGTAGTGAGCAGCGTCCCCTGGGTCAGAAAAATAATGTTAACAAATCATGGAACGGCTCATGTGCCTGGTATATGACTTTTCTTTTTTTAAATTCACGGCTGTATCTTATTCATTACTAAATTTCATATGTCTGGCTAAACTCTTTCAAACAGTACATCCCAAGTAAGTAAACTGTCTAAAATTCGACCAGTCTGTTACTTATATAGATTTCTTTATTGTTTCCTTATTTCAAGAACATGGTTTTACAAGATTCGAGCAATATGACACTCTCACGACCCGTGTCACTGATTGTGAAAGCTATCCAGCTAGCTTTAAGCTACTTTAGGAACGCCCGTAGGTTTTTTAAGCTTTTTCCCCGTGGGGTCCCTAAAAAATTTGCCCCGGGGCACCGGAGGTCTTCCCCAAACCAGAAAAGCTAGAAAATCTTTCATATGACCTCCCACTTTTTTGGGTTTATGATTTTAAAACCAAAAAAAAAAAGCTTTTGACTTTAATTATTCTTATTTTTTTTTAGGGAAATTTATAAACCCTTTCCCATCATTTGCATTTAGAAAATGAAATTTTTAATTTAGAATATTACATTTTTTACCCCCAAAATTTCGTGGAAAGTTTGTAAAAATGCCATTTCAGTTTTTATCTCAAAATATGAAAGGTTTATATTTTATCACCAGATAATACAAAAATTTTAATTATAAAATGTCTCCCGGGCAATGCCCTATTAACATACCCAAACATTTAAAAGTGTTTAACCCGATGTCCAAATTTGGGAAAGTGTTTCATGGAGCGATAGTAAAGGCCGATCCAAACAGCATGATGGGGAGAATACCTGTGCATAAAACCCTGAAGAAACTTTTGTTCTTTAGCATTACGTATGTGTGCTAGATGCCCTCCTCTATTGTGACAAAATTGTTCTGCTTGGTGCCAAGTCTTTTCAATATCGGGAACAACTTCGTAACAGTTCTGACCATACTGACCAAGGGAACCACCGTCTCTTGATACTTGCGAATGTAAATGCTGCGAGCATAGATTCAAATTCCCTGTAGGTATGGCAAATGCGTTGGAAATTTAACAGTTTGACACAAAAACAAAGATATTGGCAATAAATTATAGGTATAAAATAAGAGATACTTAAAAAATAATATAATTATTTCCGTGCATATTACTCACATATTTATATAAATCATTGAATATTTCATTTGTCTAGCAGTTGTACGTATGCTCACTTTATTTCCGTTCAAATATTTCCGTGCCATCAGCACATCCTGGAGGATATATAGTTAACATTTGCAATGGAATCGGCAAATTAGTTTTCATACCTGTCAGCTATTATGATAATTTTTAGTCATAAAGATAGAACTATTACAGTAGCAAAATAACAAATATAATTTAAAAGATAATTATAATTATTAAAAAACGATAATTGAGCATATACGCAATTAAGAACGCTACTTTACCGTCCGGAGCGTGACCGGAAGTTGAAACTGAAAACAAATAATTGAGAAATAATATAACAGGGATTATCGTTTATTTTATTTTAAGAATTAATCTAAATATTTCTAAATTTAAATGAAATATGTGTATAAAATCCACGTGATTTTTAGATATTAATAATATTTCTGTATTAACAGCCAAGCAAAGTTAACCACGGCCAAGTATTTCTTGCTCCTTGACATAAGAAAATTATAGCTTATAGTAATAACAACTTAATGCAAGTCATAGTTAAGTCCTGACAGCAGATTCAACACTTGAGTCTAAAAATAAACCGCATGGCCACTATTTATTGTATAACTATTTTGTAAAGAAGAATAAACATATGTTGAAAATCAAAAATTAAAAAATACTAACTTACCTGCAGTTGCATTTTTAATAGCTGTAAAGATCAATTATTGTGTTAAGGCCAATTTGAAGTATACCATTGACGTCATATAGTGTGACATATTACATTGACGTCATACCAAATGAAGAATAATAATGATTTTAAAAAAGTGAAGTTTAACATTGACTTCATGTAAAGTGAATTTTAACATTGACATTATATTAAGTGAAGTATTACATTTACTTCATATCAAGTGAAGTATGACAATAACCTTATATAAAGTGAAGTTCAACATTGACTTCATATCAATCAAATATTTACATAGACTTTTAAAAATTAAGTGAAGTATTACATTTACTTCACATCAAGTCAAGCGAAGTATAACATTGACTTCATATTAAGTTATAATAAGCATGATATATACCGAAACAAAGTAGCTCATTTTCTTTACATAAAGCTAAGACTAACATTGACACCATATGATATCGAGTTCTTTTTATACGCAGTCATTACGCATTAATCAGAAAAGGGGCAAAACAAAAGTAACTTCAAATTTTCTTAAATTAAATATACGACAATCAAATAATTGAATATTTGATGAATCTAGAAAGTATAACTGATAGAAGATGATCAATACAGGCAAAAATAGTATTTTATCTTCTCATCTCTCGTTCGAGAAAACAAATTAAAAAGGAGGTTAACTAGCTGTATTCTTCTTTACTTAGATATGACTCTGCAAAGAACATTTATTTTTTTTTGTTTCTGCCAGGAGTAACTTTTTTTTCTAAACTTTTAGAATTAAGATAATCAACAAAGTTCACGATTATCAAATGGAGAGGAAAAATAGAAAACGGTTGTCTATAATGAATAAATTCGTGTCATAGAGAAGGTTAATGATAACAAAATAATAGAAAACACCGAGGTATTTTGACAATAAGGGACTGGAAATATTTCAACGCAATTTTTATACCAACGGATCTATTTCTGGACAAATATCATGTGTGCAAATATTCAGCTGATTCCGTCACCCCGTTTTTTCAAGAATATTTTTTTTATTGTGAAAATAACTGAAATATGAATTGCTTTCCACTTAAATTTGGCTAAGAATTGCACAATTAATTAATTTAATTTCAAGTTTATTTCTATGTTACCCATTGCAGATTTTTCCAATTTAATTGCTTCACTTGATATTTGTAAGATTTTCAAATGTTATGTTTTATGCCTTTGGACCTCAGATGAGTTCATTTAAGATGTTTGAAAACATATACAAACCATATTGGCAAATATATGCATGTCCATGTCCGTGAACAACTTCGGTATGATGGGTGTCCCCTCCGCAATTTACGTCATCCCATTGGCCAGTAGTTGCTTGCATAAATACACAGTCTTGATGACCATGGCGATGATTCTTGCGACCAGGTTTCCAGTTTGTATAATTCAAGGAATCGCCTGAAATATTTATTTGTATATTACATTTTTTATCGTTACGCAAACGATTTTTGACATTTATATCTCAAACTTTACATTCATGGGATTAGTATACTAAAATGATGTTTAAGTAAATAAAGATGCACAATTCTTTGTGAGTAACTTATCAAAGTAATAACTACTGAGAATGGTTTGTTTTATGACATAATGATAGATATAAATCGTCTTTTTCAACTACTTTATTGCACAGCTATAAAAATGTACATTTCAATAAAAGGCATTGCACGTTTTTACGTGCATTAACATCTTCAGAAGTACGGGGACACATTTTAAGCCCGAGCCCGCAGAACGAGGGATTTTATTAGTCTGAGGTTAAATGTATGCGTCCAAATTGGTAATTCCGCGTTTCGTTATTCTGTATTTCGTACAAAGAAAACATTGCTTTTGCCATTCGTTCCACGTGCTAGTGCAATGTCATTTGTCAATTGTTTTGATTATATTACGTTGCATTGAACTGTCTTACATTGCACCTTGAGTCTCGCATTTTAAAATACGCAACAGCGGCCCGCGGTCATGAGAATCTATCCGTCAATGCATGTTTTCTTCTTCGTAAATGTATACCTGTGAATACATTTGTTATGCAATAATAACGTTTAAAAACCTGTGCTGTAAGGATTGCAGATTGTATGAAATACATTTATTCGAAAGACGGAGATAAATAATTGAAAATGAATATTTTTTGCCTTACCAGAAGACCATTCAAATTTCTCTTCATAATTCCTGTCGTTTAAACCAATCCAGGCAGTATGTCCACGATGTTTCACAAGAAAGTTGTAAATGAAAGCTTGCTCCTTTTGATTAGCAATATGCGCTAAATGCCCGCCGTTATGTTGACAAATGGACTCTGCGTGTGACCAAGTTACGTTAGTTTGGTCAACTTCGTAACAGTTCTCTCCAAATTGTGCAAGAATTGCATGATCTCTCTTAGCAGCTTGATGAGTCCGGCGCGAACATAACTCTAGATGTCCTTGAATTAGAAATAAGACAGACATTTACATTTGTTCCTAAATACCCTATATGTAAAACTTTTTTCACACACTTCAGACAGATTGTCAAAAAGCAAGTCTAAATGTAACACATAACTAGCACTCTATTTCTGTGATGGTTTGCAGTAATAGTTTTCTTTCAAATACCATAACATACCATGTTGAACTAATTCTTTAAGGCCCACCTAGTCCCTAAAATGCCATCTTTTACATTTTGCACACTCATTTCATATTTCGCATTCTGTTTCATTTAACAGAAAAACACTCAGTGATCATATACCTGTTACATCCTTTGCTCTTTTTTATTTGCTTTTTGCAATAACAACAGTTACGATGATTAAGTATTTTTTTTTAAATCAAAATGCCACTTTGTTTACATTTTTGTGACGATATGCCAATTTATTTAATATATTTGGCGATACTAATTACCGGTGATTAGCATATAATATGTTTTTAAATTATTATCTAAACAATATTACACATAAGTTGGACATTTCCACAAAAATCAGAGGCAAAATGCACCTTACGTATTTGTATATACAAAATAAGCAGAAGGAGTATCATGCATTCTTTATCCATGACTTTCATTATAATATTATAATAAGCTAGCTAAAATGTCTTTTGAAGATGTTATTGAAAGTATATGTTATATACTCTTATTATTATTATCATCAATTCCCCTTCCAAAGGTATAGTTATAATTATTTATATACAAAATTCCCTTGTTCTCTTGTTAACTCTATGCTATTATAACGCTGACGTTTTGTACTTAATATAAAAAAACAACTAAGCTGTTTTTTTTTTGTAAGTTTGTTTTGTTTTACGAAAATAAATCTACCTTTGATTGTATTTGAAGTTATATACGGAGTGCTTGTTGTTGAAGATATTGCAGTTGTCGCAGTTGTTGGAATTTCTGTCGCTTGAGTCGTTAACTTCATTGCTGTGGTAGCTAGCACTCTTGAAGTTGTTAATTCAGGTGTTGCCATCTTAGTAGTTGGCGTTGTTGTTTCTTTCAATGTAGTTTGTTCAGTCGTTGGTACAGGGGTGCTTGTTGTTGGTTTGACCGTGGTTGTTGAAGTTGTGGTTGTAGGTCGCGTTGTTACAGTAGTTGTTGGTCGCGTTGTTACAGTAGTTGTTGTTGTTGTTTTTGGTGGTGGTGGTGTTTGTTTAATGGTAGTAGTTTGTACCGGAACTGAAAGCATGTTAATGTAATTTAACGTTTACTGTTATAACAAACGTGATGTTGCTTCTTATTGTTGTTCTTTTTCTCTCACTATTTGCACTGTTTCTCCTTTGCAACAACAACTGTTATATTTTGTCATAGTGTGACTTACACCAATCGTTGCACAGATAATGTACTTAGAAAGATGATTAATACTTCCTTTAGCTCACGTGTTATGTTTTGGATTGTAGATTTAAAAAAATAAAAAAAGTATTAACGTGTACAAGTTTTAATTTTGGTTCCTTTCTACGCGTATGATTTGTAGAATACAAATGTATAGGCCTTGGTAAACCATCACACACAGCCCTTATTATACACCAATATTATAAAATCTAACCCTTATTTGTATAAAGCGTGTTTTCTCTGCTTGTGTACATACTTGTAATAAGCTATCTCATAAAATCATATGTAAGGTTATATTTTAGTTATTATGATCTTTGACATAGTTTATGGCGTTTTAAGCAAATATAAACCAATCAGTTAAGCAACCGTTTGTTCACAACCCTATGACCTGTCAAAGTCTTTATCACCGCTTGTTTTATTTCTAAGGGTCTATATTTCAAGAGGCTAATATTAAAAGCCTTTAACTTCAAAACTCTTGTCTTTACCGCATTGGTTTTGAACCCCGCCATGGCCTTCGGAAAAAATGTAGGAGCCGTGTTTAGAAGAACTATAAACGTAAGGATAATCGAATGAAAATCAATGTTGTAAATATGCAATAATATAGTTATTTTTAATATCATACGGAATGAGAAAAAATGACAACGTACGTTTGTCTTCATCAGGAACGCTTCCTTGGCATGTTTGTATTTGCAGATCAGCGTTATTCTTTACAAATCCGAGCTGAAATTTATCAATACTCACACCATAGTGATCCATTTGATGTTAGCATCACAAACTAAATGTTTTTAATTTGATATTAGAATGAATAAATGAATGAATGAATGAATGAATGAATAATTGTATAAATGAATATTCTTTGTGTGGAATATATTTTCACTTATTATTATTGATCATCATCATGTTATACGAGTACATGCTTAAATAATTGTATTATTGGTTGCTGGTCGCGTAGATGAAAGATCATTTCCGTTGACATATATTTTCCGTTAAATGAAAACCCCTGGCTATACAGCATTGGTTTCGAACCCCGCCATTCGTTTCATTCATAAACTGGTTATTTTCCTTGAATGATCATTTCCTTTGACAGATCATTTACTTTGCGTAGATCAATTAACTTGACCGATCATTTCCCTTTGGCAGATCATTTCCCAACACTGAACATTTCCCCTTGAAAGATCATTTCCCTTGTTTGAACATTTCCCCTTGAAAGATCATTTCCCTTGTTTGAACATTTCCCCTTGAAAGATCATTTCCCTTGTTTGAACATCTCCCCTTGAAAGATCATTTCCCTTGTTTGAACATTTCCCCTTGAAAGATCATTTCCCTTGTTTGAACATTTCCCCTTGACGGACCATTTCCCTTGTTATAAACAAACTAAACTGAAGAATAATTTATCTTACCTTGTGCTCGAAGGCAACCGTAAACCATTCATCATCAGACTGTCCGACATCAGGTTTACAGTCGAATTCGTACAGATAGCCTAAAACGTCGCCCTGCTCGGAAGGCTTGAATAAAATTTACAAACTATAACCAATGTAATTTTCATAACGAGTTGTTATTCGGTTATCTTCATATTGTGTTCTTATGTTATGTTTTTAAAAGTATTAAAAGACGATTTTCTTTTGAAAAGAATCTGCCACGTTTTTGTTACAAAGATAACTTGTTTTACAATATTAGACGACATCAAATATCTTATTCGTACATGATGATTGATATCAATGCAAATATTTATACTGGTACAGTTTTGTGTTTTAGAGCAGTGTATGGAAATTATTTTCGCAGATTTTATGATTTATAATATTATTTTTCTATAAAGAACAAATACTGTTTTTTTTTTTACCGTCGAGTATTTAAATTATGACATATAAAATATCATGAATACTACTCACTTACCGTAGCGTAGACGTTTGTTTCCACGCTGTAACTGCACACGCATTTATAATCAGAGCGAACATTTCCAAATACCGTAAACAAAATTGTCACAAGCAGCCAAAACATTTTGCCTGAATTACATATTTTATAGACAGTTCATAATACAGATGACGTTTTAAGATTTATCTTTAATACTTTGACAGTATTTCAGATTGTCTTCTAATTACCACTAGTGATTCGAATCATTATGATGACCAATGACCATATTGATAAAAAAAGTGATTCAACAATGGTATTTAACTGTATTCCTCAGAGTTTCATGCCGTAACAGTAACCCCATTCAATAGTGTCTTGAATCATTACCATATGTATAAGAAATTCAAATTATTACAATAGCGCTTTTTACTTAACAAATAGAGCAACTTTTTAAGTCTTGACCATGAATATGTATGTTTATGATTTAAGCCGCAAATGGTAGAACTTGCAATATTTGTTTTAAAAAGTAAGTTATAAATCTTTCTTAGGCATCCACAAAATTATTGTGCAACGATTAAACGTACTTATACGTATAGAAGCAGAGTATTTTGTTCCGAAACATGTTATGCTGTTTACGTACCAATATTCATGTGTGTTACACAACACATAGATTCTATGTCACAACTGTTTTAGAATCTCACATACGATTCATACATTATTTTTACTGTTCAAAACTTTTATAAATTAAGAATATTTCACATGACATAGCTTTATGCCCTTTAAGTACAACGCAAAAGTTGTTATAAACATGACCACTTTTATACATGCTATAATGTTCGTGAAGTTGGCAGCCTAGCAGCCTGAAGTTGACAGCCTAGCAGCCTGAAGTTAGCAGCTTAGCAGCCTGGCAACCTAACAGCCTAAAGAAAACTAAGGATAGTACAAACATGAAAACCGTCGGAAATACATCAGTAGCACTTCCTTAGATCATTCCACGCCTTTTTTCAATATCGTGATCTTTATTTTATTTAAATATTGAACTTTATTTATTGTTTATTTTTTTTATTTTGACGTTTCGAAATTTGTGAAGTTAGCAGCCTGGCAGCCTAGCAGCTTGAAGTTGACAGCCTAGCAGATCTTTATTTTTTTTAAATATTGAACTTTGTTCTTTTTTTTTATTTTGTCGCTTCGAAATTTGTGAAGTTAGCAGCCTTGCAGCCTAGCAGTCTGGCAGTCTAGCAGCCTGGCAGCCTAAAGTTGGCAGCCTAGCAGCCTAAAGAAAACTAAGGATAATACAAACATGAAAACAGTCAAAAAAATGAATCGGTAGCACATACTTAGACCATTCCACGTCTTATTTCAGTTTTTTTTTAATCTGTTTTTTTTTTTAATAAAGATTTCGATATTTGAATAAGACGTGGAATTGTCTAAGTATGTGCTACCGATTCATTTCCGACGGTTTTCATGTTTGTATTATTCTTAGTTTTCTTTAGGCTGCTAGGCTGCCAGGCTGCTAGGCTGCTAGACTGCAAGGCTGCTAGGCTGCCAGGCTGCTAGGTTGTCAGACTGCTAGGCTGCCAGGCTGCTGACCTCACAAATTTCGAACGTCAAAATAAAAAAAACTAAGTTCAATATTTTAAAAAATAAAGATCGCGATACTGAAATAAGACGTGGAATGGTCTAGGTATGTGCTACCGATTCATTTCCGACGGTTTTCATGTTTGTATTATCCTTGGTTTTCTTTAGGCTGCTAGGCTGTTAGGCTGCTAACTTCACAAATTTCAAAACGTCAAAATGAAAACAAAAAGTTCAATATTTTAAAAAACTAGAGATCACGATATTTAAAAAAGGCGTGCAATGATCTAAGGAAGTGCTACTGATGTATTTCCGACGGTTTTCAGGTTTTTACTATCCTTAGTTTTCTTAAGGCTGTTAGGCTGCCAGGTTGCTAGGCTGCCAACTTCAGGCTGCCAGGCTGTTAGGCTGCCAACGTCAGGATGCAAGGCTGCCAACTTCAGGCTGCTAGGCTGCCAGGCTGCTAGGCTGCCAGCTTCAGGCTGCTAGGCTGCCAACTTCACGAACATCATGCTGAAGCCAGTTTCTTTACAATACATTTTGTATTAAATGTTATAACATGATAAAAAGCCTACCTGTGTTCAATTAATCAATAGCATATATTTATATTTCTTTTGCTAAATTAGTACATTCTTTTGTCTATATTAAGCAAAATAAAGTTCAAAGATAAGAACGAATGATAAAGTACAGTCATGTATAGAGAAGGTGATAGTTTAAAGCTTTGTTGTTCATTTCAAACTATTATCATGATCTTAACAATTTAAAGATTTTAAGTTTGAAAGTCTAAGTCATCCGAGCCTACAGGACTTACAATTTTGCCTCTCGGCGACCTTTTAATGTCCAGACTTATCTATGTATTTATTAGGACACCGTAACTCAGTATTTCCTTATAAAGAAATAATCCGAAGTTATGCTTTTTTTGCGGCAATAGTGCACGAGTTTGTTTTTTTTTGTTTTTAGTAATAAGTTTATTTGTCAAGCAGTTTAGATGTGGAATTTTCGAAAATATTGAAATATTTTCGACTATATAATACAGAAAGTTTTGTATATGTTTCTTAATGTTGTCTTCGTTTTCAGGGTTATATACAGTCCGGAGCAAAAGTATAAATGTGTCTTAATAAGCGAAATAAATATAATCCATGGACTTTTAAAAATCGATAAGGCATATTCATTTGATTCTGTTTTTATTCCAGGTTTATTATCACTCTGTTTGCATATATGTACATGAAATGAGTTTTTTTCAGGGAGATATGATCTGTGCCTTTTCCGCATTTATAATTTTCAATATCCGTTTCCTTTTTCAATTATGACTTAAAAGTTTAGACCGTTAAATTCGGATTTTATATCAGAAGGGTTTGAAGGAGCCGCTGGTATTGAGCCTGGATTCATCCTTTTAAATACTTCCCACGCCCACATCGGAGAAGGGTTGGGTATCCCGCTCGCAGCAACCCGACTTTTAATTTTTTTTTTTCAAAAAACGTCATTTTTTTCAAAACTCCTTTATACATTTATATTGGAATGTCATTTTTCATTTCTTTTACACGAAGTATTTGGCCTTTATTAACAGATAAATTTCTTAGAAAGTTTATTGCTGTAAGTCACGTGGAAGCTTTTGGATTCTTTTGTCATTACACAAACTGATATGTAGCTTTATATTCAGAATTTTGACTTTGTTGGTTGGGAAAACACCCGGTTAGTGAAGACGGTTTACAAATACCCCTCTAGCCTTTTTTTAACTCTATGTTATGTTGTTTTATTATTTATAAGGTGCATTATTAAAGAATGTAAATGATTTATGCTCGTTTTTGAGTGTAACGAATTAGAGCATTAGTTTTAATTCCTTTTGAGAGATAAAATTCATTGGCGTTCCTATGAAATTCATTTTGTTCTTATTAGGTGACCGCCATGGCGTAACTTGTTTCATTTATTTGTGTTGGATCAAATTGTGACGAGCTGTCGTTCATTCGATTAAAGTCACAATCGCTTTGTTACAAGATCACCGGACACAGTGATACAAAAAATAGAAGACAGAAGCCTTAGGAAGGGTGTATATTAGTTTTCTAGAGTTTGAATATACAACCGCGGCTTTAAGTCACAGGGGCTCCATATTTTACCCGACGCAAATACATCATTTTTATATTATTGTATGTGAGTTAGACATTATTTTCTTTTTGACAATACCAAAATTAATGCAAATAAAAGAAAGAATGTACAATTAATGAGTTATCACTGTGTCCCGTCACGTGGTTTATTGCGCCATGTTGTTGCTGTCCACGCTTACAAAAACGTAAATAAAGCGACACATTTAAACGAAGGTCACATTTTTCTTTCAGAACCATTCACGTTAAAAATGCAAATACTTGTTCTATTTTTCCCTAATAGATTCTAATCAGAAACTGTTGTATTATTTTTTTATCTTAGTAGGCATTCATTTGCAAACCGAACAATTTGATTGACATTTGATAGTATACGAGTGATAATATTCATATATTAAAATCTATTGTAGTATGCGTCAATGTGTTTGTTTGTTTGTTTGATTGGACTTTAAGCCACACCGACATTGCAGCTTTACGCTTTATTTGTGGTGAATGATTTCAGGTACCACTCGTACGAACGGGCACCCGAGTGAAACAATCGATATTCTTACAGCAGGATATGCATTAACTATCCAGTTATTGACTTAATTTGTGAACGTAACTTAAGACTGTGGTTAGCCTTTTAGCAAAGATAAATGATGATAATTAGATAATTGGATTAACATTATTGAAATCTTTAAACCGTAACCTCAGTGCCTTGGAACTTTATACAACTTTAAGAATATAATACGTGGTATGAAATCTAAACATGGGTCGTACCGGGGTTCGAATAACAAATGTATATTTTTTTTCAAAGCGTGCAATATATCAATTTTAACCCTTTCGCTGCCAAAGGGTTATTGTTTTATTGATCATCTATTTGCCAGAGGCTTTTCTAAGAAATTACTATATTATTAATTAATATAATTATTATTATTTGTTATTAGTATTATAATAATTATATATGTTTCCAAATCTGTTAGTATAATAATAATTATTGTTGATGGTATAATTTTATTTATATTTATTATTATTTTTATTATTATAAATATTTATTTATTATTATTACTATTATTATTATAGAAACTGCTAAAGCCGTCCATATGGCAAATACGCCGAAAATAACAGGGACGGCATAAGCCGTCCCTATGGCAGTGAAAGGGTTAAAGGCAGATTTTGTAGTTCAATATGATAATCTATACCAATATAAAGGTCGATCCATCGCTAGAATATAATTCATATACACGATTAGATATGCTTGATACTTTATTAGTGTCTTCATTAGTGTCAGTCTTTATGAATAAAATATTTCTAATATGAAAGATCAAGATAGAGAAAAGAAACACACAAAGGATTAGTAACGTCATCACTCCATACAACACTTCATTATTGCAATCGTATTCAGCCAATAAGTAATGATCCAGTTGAAATACCTATTATAGGAAATTAAAACAAATCAAAAGTGATTATCGGTTTCATAATAATAAGATGTTGCGAAAAGACTGCTCATCAATAATCAATAATTAGAAATGTCAACACTTAAGTACAAGGTATAATCCTTAGGGACTGTTAGTTTAATGTAAAGTTTTAACTAAAAGTATTAAACGTTTAATTCAAACCTCTATAATTATTTCGTAAGTAAAATGTTACAAATGATGGTAATCTTGACGGAAACCTTTATTATAAATTTATTAATTAGATGAAATTGTATATAGGTATACTATTCATTTGTTAACAGATTATTTCTAAACATAGTCTACTTACTATATTCACATAATAGGGTGTGTTTCACCGGAGGAAGAGGTGCCGCCAAATAAGGTGTGGTGTACATGTCCACATGGCATATCATCCCATTGGCCATGTTTATACGGTATCATTACCACGCAATTTTCTTGTCTAGGCTTTTCATGGTTCGCAATATGTCCCGGAATCCAATTTGTATAGTGTACAGCCGCACCTAGAAAACAGTTTTAAGTAAACAGTAATGTGAAGCAAAATATTTGTCATTTCATTACAATTGTCTGGTCGTTCCTTATAAACCGATGATGGAACTTTATACATTTGAGCCGCGTCACGACAAAACCAACATAGTGCGTTTGCGACAAGCATGGATCCAGACCAGCCTGCGCATCCGCGCAGTCTGATCAGGATCCATACTGTTCGCTATCAGTTTCTCTACTTGTAATATAGTTGGTAAGCGAACAGCATGGATCCTGATCAGACTGCGCGGATGCGCAGGCTGGTCTGGATCCATGCTGGTCGCAAACGCACTATGTTTGTTTTGTCGTGACGCGGCTCATTTCGATTCCTCTCCTGGAGTCTTATTCTGCGGTATTCGCATATTCATGTCTTTTTTATTGTCTTTTATATTGACATCAAAGGCTCTGTCACAATGTCTGCAATTTATGTACTTCATTGATATTTAGGGATGATCTCCCCTCTTTTAAAAATGTACAAAAAGGCCAAAACATACTTAATATTCCAACCTGAAGCCCAGTGAAAATGTCCCTCTGTTTTTTGGTCTGTGAGACCAATCCAAACAGCATGATCAGGGAAATGACTCTTCATAAAGCGTTTGATAAAATTCTGTTCTTGTGAACTAGTTATAAAAACAAGATATCCACCTCTAGAAGAACATATTTGTTCAGCATGTTGCCAGGAAACTTTTTCATTTGGAACCAGTTCGTAACAACTTTGATCATGCTGTGCAAGTGTTCCGTGGTCTCTTTGTGCTTGCAGTTGAAGTCTGTGTGGACACATGCTAATGTTTCCTAAAATTATCTTTTTGTTTACTGAGACTGAACGTTTCAACGTATGAAGCAAAGACAATTTGAGCCGCGTCACGACAAAACCAACATAGTGGGTTTGCGACCAGCATGGATCCATACCAGCCTGCGCATCCGCACAGTCTGATCAGGATCCATGCTGTTCGCTTACAAACCCTATAACAAGTAGAGAAACTGATAGCGAACAGCATGGATCCTGATCAGACTGCGCGGATGCGCAAGCTGGTCTGGATCCATGCTGGTCGCAAACGCATTATGTTGGTTTTGTCGTGGCACGGCTCATTTCAAAGGTAATTCAAAGATTCAATTTGATTGGTCAACAATGGGCATATTTCTATAACTATTAAAATTGATAAAAACAACAGAAATAAATTATTTGGATATACTTATGAAATATTGCTTGAAAAAAATGTTGTTCAATTTCAAAGTGATATAAAACTGAAAACTTTATAGGATCAATAATAATATTTTGTTCTAGAACATTTTATTACCTGCCAAGTAACTATATGTTTTATCGGATCATGAACTTGTACAGAGCATGCATATATAATTCTTCTGTGGTTTGTTTTTTTGTTTGTTGTTATGTCTGATTCAAATCATATCGAAGCAATTATGCTAACCTGTCATTATATATCAAGTCACTTTGATGCTCCGTTTATCAAATATGCAAATGTTGCTCAAAACAGTTCATTTTTGTTATAACTATATTAATGCAATACTAACGTTTGGATCAGTTTGAATAATATCGGTAGCAGCTATACTTCTACAATCAATGATTCCAAGACAACGCCTTTGTTGCTACATGTACGTGAATAAAACATGTTTTTGTAACTCCGATATAAACTTACAATTTTAAGTGAATTAAATCAGATTTTTGACTAAAATCAGACAAAAACGGTTTTGTTTACTCACCATACATGCTTGTGTTTGGTGGAATGACAGCGGCTAAAAAAAGAGAGGAAATAACGGTGAACTTGTGTTACAAAACAGGCACTTTAAAACTAATTTAAATTGAATCGTTACGATAGGGAACCAATATTTGTTAATTGATAACGTTATTTATCAAAGAAACCAATTTTGTAATAATCAATATGTTAAAAGATGATATGACAGGACAGCAAAGTTGGTATTACATAAGACCTTACTGCCAGCGTCTTGAAATATTGATATACAACTAGTTTACGAAACGTCAGTGGTTCTAAACATGTGCCTGTGTTTGCTTGAAATAATACAAAAAGGGGCACCTGAGGTTTTTTCTCTATCAGTAAAGATGGAATGTCGCCATAAGACCCATACTGTGATGGTTCGATTAAAATCAAAGCAAAAGAAAGAAAGCAAGACAAAAGAAAGAAAAGAAGAAAGAAAGAAAGAAATGCAAATTCAATGCAAAGACATTATACAGGAAATCTAAAACTTTATGACGATAAAACATGAAAGAACAATACCATATTGACATATGAATGCATGACGAATTCCCTTTATAGACTCCGATATAGCGTTATCACCACCGCATTCTACATTGTCCCATTTCCCTGTAGTTGATGACATAACTACACAGTCCTCGACATTGTGATGCAGATTATCTTTTCTCCCATGCTTAAAGGTCTTGTATTTTACAGTATTACCGAAAAGAACATAACATAAATATGTCGCTACATTACATATTGATACGCAATCGTATCTCCTTCTTTTCTTGACATGTACGTTTTCACTTCCTCTACCATATAAGTATTATTTCAAACTGAACATTAATGGAATCATAGTAAATATAAAATTTGACAGTATTTTATGTTTGTGCCGGTGTTTGAACATCTTTAGTTTATACATTGTTGTGTACTTTTTTATTCTAATTTGATTGTGTTCGAAGCTATAAATATTCTCGAATCCGTTCCTGAAATCAACCAGTTCTATACAATGAATGTAAAATTTATTGCTCAGGGAAACAACTGCTTGCCACTGACGGATATTGAACCAACATGGCCAGCAATCCTTAGATTACTAGTTTCACACTAGTTGTAGTTAATTAATTACCCGGGAACGCCGTCACTCCAAAGAATTTTATGAAAGTGATACTTAAGAGAAGTCCAAATGTTACCCGACGTCCATTCAAATTGCTCTTCATGGTGTCTGTCATTCAAACCCAACCATACTGTGTGCGTGTGATGCTTTACTAGGTAATCAAAAATAAAGTCCTGTTCTTGTTGGTTTGCTATGTGTAACAAGTGTCCACCGTGACCTTTACAAATTGCCTCCGCGTGTGACCATGATACTCCTGAGTTAACAATTTCATAGCAATTTTGTCCAAACTGTGCTAAGTGTTCACCCCCTTGATCCAGCAGCCAGCTGTTGTATTCTTTCCGGGCATAATTTTACATTACCTTTATAGAAGTACACAATATGAATAACAAAATATAAAATGAAAATATTAGTTGGCATTTCATTCGGGTTTTTCTCTGCATGCCTGATAATATATCGCATAAAATCCAAAATAAATAAATAAATTTAATTCAATGATATAGAGACAAATATGTTTCTCGTATCAATGCATATGATCAGTAGAAGCAAATTTAATATTAAAGCTAACAAAGCTTAAGCTCTACGTTTTTATGCAGTCGAAATGGCAGTAGAATATCAAGAATCCAAGCCGAATTGTTTTACAGAAATGTTGGATATGAGTGATTTTCGAAATTTGCTAAAGAAAACAATGCTTTTTAGCTTATTTCATGGGAAACTATTTTCATCATTATTATATATACAATAAATTTGATGATTTAAAAGATGTATAATGATTTATAAGGCCAATGAAAAATGAAGGACACCTTTCATACTGTCCATTGTGGTAGTTCTTGTCGGTCTGGTACTTGTTTGTGAAACGACTGTAGTTGTTCTTGTGGACACAGCTGAAATGGATGAACCTTAAGTTAGTGAAGATGAAGATTTATCCGACATCGGACCTTATAAAGAAGTGATATCTTGTGGAAAGAGGGACCTGGCTATTTTTTCGATTACTTTAAACATTTAAGATATACCTTTATTACTGAAACTTTGACGCCTGTTCAAGCAATATCTTTAGAAGCATGAAACCACCTCCGGCTTTTACATGTATGATGGATGAATATTAACTATGGATATGCACACTATTTCGTACATCAGTAAAGTTTGTAACGGAAGACACACAAATAAAGATTTCTGAAAATCCTTCTGTTTTTTTACCAAGGTAATGGCTATGAGTCTATGGTTTTTGTTTACTTCACAATTTAAAAAATATTTTTGAGATACCCATTTTGAGATGCATCATTAAATCTATTCAAACCAGGCATGTCAAAGTATATTGAAAACTTATACTCGGTCTGCAGCACAGGACTTTAAGTAAATACCTATCGATTAATGACATAGCATTCGACAATTGTTACAACAATATTCTGTTGATTTAGCTACTTTTATTACATAATATGAAACTGGAAAATGCACATTTTATTGTACAAAGATCACAATATATTTTGTGTTATTTCGGGAATAATATTTAAATGATAACAAGTTGAACAAAGCAGTCTGAAAGACAGCTAAATTCTCTTCCTCAGCAAACATGAATGTGTACTTTTTGACCTTTAACAGACCATGGCCTTGATGCAGTGTCATGTATATTATAGCATATTAGTCTCATGATAGAAATCATTTGTACCAAGGTATTTATTTAAAATCTTCCATAAAGTTAAAAAGTTATGGAGAACATTTAACCTTGACCTTTGGGGTAGCAACCTGGATGTTGAGTTCTGCAAATCATGTCATAATGGTGATCATTTCTGTCAAGTTATTTCATTTTTTTCAGCGGTTTAACAGTTGTGGAGCAGACACGAAATGTAGACTGTTTAACACTTTAAGTGTGACCTTGATCTTGGGGTAGCAATTCAAATTTGCACTCTGCACATTGTCTTATAATTGTGATTACTTATGCCAAGTCATATCAAAAAAAAAAAAAAAATAGCGGTCAGAAAGTTATGGAGCGGACTGACAAACGGAGGCCATTCTTATAATCCGTACATGTCCGCTATGCGAAAGGGGATTAACAAAAGGAATTAAAAGCCATTGGTTTTCTTAACTACCAGAGCATGGTTGTTTCTTGCAAGCTGTAACGCGTGTGTCACTTCCTGTACAGTTTAATCCTCCACTAGTAGGTGCCGGGTTTGTACATGTGCGTATTTTAGTCCGTTTTCCATTTCCACATGTGACGCTACATGAGGACCACGTGGACCACCCAGACCACTGTCCGTCAACTAAACAAAAATCAATACCAACAGCGTCGCATAATGAGTAAAAAATAGCGCATGTGTAGAACATTTATGAATCTCAACCCCACAAGTAACCCCAACTCAACAGAAAAAAAAACACAAATTAATATCTTCTTGTATCCATTACAAATTAGGAACAAATTGAACCCATTTACTAAATGTCATTCAACAGCCATACCTAAATTGCATAGATCACAAAAACGAGGGCATATATTCCGTGCATGCTGAGTATCGCTGCAAAAATTCGTCACGGTATTGAGGTAGGCGCAATCGATTTTATGATCGTCAATGCAAGCTGATGCTGAAAATATGTTGAGGCAGTGCAAAATACATTCTTTTTATATACGGAACAAAATGATTAACCGACCGTGGACAACATTGTACTGACGTCTCTGTTGGCTTAGTGGTTGTGTTATAAAAATATGGATAGATCAACGATGAATTGTTTTCACCGTAAACATTTACAAACAGTGTTTTTTATGGAGCAAGTAAAATATATTTTGAAAAAGCTCATATTTTATGCAGTTCTTTGGGTTCGTTACCTCGGTTGTTGCTTGTTGCTTTTCGATAGACCTGTTGGACTGCGTTAAGAAAATGTCGGTCTCCCTCATTGTGTACACCGGTCTAACTGACCTGTGTGAAACCACTCTAAGCATGATGGGAACGCACTTCTTTTAACATGGCGGCTTGAAAAATTAAACTTTTTCTATACCCTGTTGGCAAAATAGCCATACATCTTTTTTACACAAAACATGCATCAAACACTCCTTCTGACAATCCTTTAGTGATTTTACAAAACCAATTTCGTTCAACACGCGTGATAGTATTTCGTTCATTGTTAGTTTAAAACCGAAAGTGAAAGAAGTTTTGAATATTGTTGAAAATCTGGAAAACAGTGATCCATTGGAAGCAATAAACAATTTTAATCGCTTGAATAGATATATTGATTTTATAAAATAAAATCGTCATCCCTACGCGGACTTCTTTGTGTCGCAGTCATTTTACCCTCACTGGGGGTGAGAAATGCGTCGTTCGACACAGGTCGATATTTGAGAGACCTGTGTGTAAACAATATGTCTCCCTTGTTTATTTTACATTTCATATTTTGCATTGATCAATCATATTTGCAATTAAAGAAACTATTTAATATACGCTCATTAGCCTTGCAATTTCTACATTAAAAAGCATGATACACCAACTGATAGTGTCTAGAAGCTGGAATTGTATATTACATTTTTATCAATACATCCCAGTGAATACATCTGAGTCTGCCCAATTGTAGACAAATCATGGAAAAATGACTGCAAAAAGCAAAAAGAAATCAAATAATAAAAAATATGTTATATGAATAAAGCTTAGAAGGACTATTAGAACAACGGGAGATTGAATAAAAATTGTTAGATATACATTTCAGAGTGATATTAAGCATTTAGTTCATTTAAAACTAAAGACGAATATAAAAATATCCATACACAATGTAATATAACTTACACGAAAAAAGATTAGAATTAAGTTAATTATACGAATGCACAATTTATGGAATATTGTATAATCCATTACATTTTCCAACGTAAAGAATATTACGTTAGAACACATTTCAAAAATAACGTTAGTTTTAGTCGAAGTATTAAAAGAAAGACAAAGTCAAGCATTCTTCTTATGTGAAACAAGATATTTCCAAAACTGTTGGTCACCCTCACTTCGATGCATTTCAAACTGATTTATAGTAGGAAAAGGCTAACATGATTTACAGTCATTTTCTTATGTTACTGAAGTACTGTATTAACCAGAGGGCAAATAATATTATCTCTGGCTTACTTGCTGAGTGCTACATTGAACAACATTGTTACACTTGTTTATATCTGTCGCATTGGAACATGCATAACACTCTAGCGATGCTATAAACAAATTTATTATATACTTATAAATGAAATATTGAGAAATATTGATGAAATAAAATGCGTATTTTCATTTTCCGTATTTTCACTGTAAAAATTTATTTTTCACTACAGTGAAACATATTTTCCGTATTTTCACTGGTGTCTTGCCGGACTACTTTCTTTTAAATTCTGCCATTACACAAAATTTAAGAGAAAGTCTTTCAAATTTTATAGCAAAAAAGACAAAAAATATATATAATAAACAGAAAATTCAAGTTTTTTCTATGAATACATGATTTATTTTCATCTTGTGGCATGAAAATTACCATATTTCACTCGTGGCTACCGCCACTCATGAAATATTTATTTTCATACCACTCGATGAAAATAAATCATGTATTTATAGAAAAAACTTGAATATCCTCTATTCATTTGTATATTATTATTCGAACTTTATGGAAAGAAATAATCAGGATTTTCAAAAAAGTTAATGATCAAGCAATTAAATAAGAAACAATTTGTTTTGAAAAGTAATTTTTCTATTGATATCGATATGTCAAGACTCTTTTCATCATAGGTTATATTGCTTTTTCACTACGCTATGATTTAGATGAAGCAATGCAGCAATTACCGGTAACTGAATATTAATATAAAAGATCAATTTCATTAAAATTAGCTCCTTATTACGCATAAGGATTTGACGAACACCAAAGAGGTCACATTCTCGTGACTGTTTAAAATGCCAATCATCAGGGAGCTCTCACAATTTAAGAAACGAAGCTGTTTCTAATTTTAAACGCTTGAAAACCAATAGTGAGATTCCGAGAACAAACATGGCGTTGTCCATACAGCCGGCAGGTAAACTGGGGGGGGGGGGATTGCCCATTAAAATTGAGTCTATTATTTCCAGTTTATTCGTTTCAAATTACTTTAATTACATCCGAATCACCATGGAGGCGAAGCGAATACGGTGGCAATCAGATCTACATGTAAGAAATAACTTGAGTGATCTTCTTTCAGATTGTGTAAAAGGCTTGTTTTTTTTTGTTGTTTTTTTTTTCATTTTGTTTTTCATGCAAAAAAATATAATGTTTAAACGACACCTTCTCAATACTTATAGATGAATTATGTATTTAAAATAATACTACGACCAAAGACCAAAATAAAGTTTTTTATGACTAACCTGTGTTTCTTGTACAAGTCAGCAGAAATAAAAATATTTTGACTGCTGAAAGGTAAAATAGGAATTCATACAGAGCGGCTGATGTTACAACTTATAAGTTTTGTCTTAGGATTTTAGAGTGCATAAACGAGATATTGCTAATAAGGACAATTAAAAGGTTGTTACCAATTTACCAATTACTGGATTTATACTGCCGCGTTATGTGAAATTTTAAAAATAAAAATAAAAAATAAAAAAATTCAAAGAGCCCTTTAGGGAAAAAAGTCTTTATCATTTGATTAGTAACATACGCAATATTTTATATTATCTGTGATATTGAACCAACCTTACTAGGTACAAATATTGTTCTCTCAAAAGAATCATTTGATAATGCAGTATTGCATTAAATAAATAAATAAATAAATAAATAAATAAATAAATAAATAAATAAATAAATAAATAAATATTATGTTACGTATTTATGACGTAACATTAAATGGCGTATAGATTTTTTTTAATTGCATTTTAGAATTAAATAAAAACTTAAATGAAAATGCATTTGTACTACAAATATATTAAATATGGATATCTTATGACTTTTGGTAAACTTCAATACTGATATTTATGTCCGCAAAATAGTGAAATACCACAAAAATTAAAATACGTAAATTACCTAATAATATTTAATCCATTTTAATTGCCTAAACAGATAAGATGAAAACATGCACAAGACTCATGCTTACATGAAAGACATTTGATAAGAGAATCTTAATAACCTTAAAAGGGAGATAATGTGACACATGATAATGTTTTAAAATGTTTTTCGGACTATCTCATCGTTCCCTTTGCCACCAAGGCTGTCATTAAGCTTTCCTTACTTAAAATATGCTTTTTCGGAGATCGAGAATATCAAAACAAATGAATTATGGAAGTAATCGTACAATAATGTAGCCGTTAAAAACCTAAAACGACCGGGAAACCCCACGGTATCTTTAATTTGCCGGTCCACATTCTAAATTTAAATTAGTAGGGCGATCGATTCACTTCGCGCTTGCGCAGACATTCGCTCAAAATATCAACAAACATGGCAGAAGATTGGCGAAAGAAACCAAGAAAACGTGCACACAAAAAAAGAGAAAAGAAAATGAACAAAAACGAACAAAAAAGAAAACATGGGAAGATAAGTACCGATACGTACGCCTATCGGAACGTACATGGTGTCAATATCTTAACAATTTTAAAGTGTACGTTGAATAATATTAATTTCATGCTTTCCAGTGTTTTATTGTAATATATCAGATGATTATATTCTGATAAACCACTAGTGAAATTTATAAAATATAATTTTCACTGTAGCCGGACTATATCTGAATGCGGATGAAAAGAAAATCATAACTAAATGAAATAACAAGCAGAAATAATTGCCGTCATGCGTAAATTTTGCTTCTTTAGGAAAAGAAAGTCGATTTCATCATACATCATGTAAAAATGTAACAAAATTAGAGAAAATTAACAGAACTTTATTTCAAAATTGATGATGTGACGTCATGATATGATGACGTCACATAGGAGAATGCGTGACGTTACGCGGCAAAATCAGTAAAAATATACTTAAAATCCCTTAAAAAGCATGAAATAAAAAGAAAATTTATTTGTTTTACATATAAGATTGAAATATATTTCATTCGTGAACACCAGCTATTATATTTTCACTCGTGGCTACGCCACTCGTGAAAATATTGCATCTGGTGTTCACTCAGTGAAATTATATTTCAATCTTACATGCAAAACAAACAAATATCCTCTATATATCAAAATCTTTCAAAAAGAGGTAAAACTATTTGCTATTTCATAGAATAATTTTGCAGAACTGTCATTTTCAAAGCGAGCAATAGATCTTTTGAGTGTTCAATTCATCTGTTTTCTCATGGTCACGTGATACTAATTCAACATTATTTACAAATGTTATATAAATGAGCAGATTTCTGTAAGACATGTTTTATAATTCGAACGTATTATTAGTACAAATTATAATATTTCTGATTTAACCTATTTAACAGGATATCAAACACTTGGACATCTTATAGATACTCTGAAATGTAAATACTTAACAGAGTGGGACGAGTGGGACGTATAACTTTAATCGTTAGCCTTTATCATGTACACCAGAAAGGCTTAATTTTGTATAAAACGTTTTGTCATAAAAATTGAATAAATCAAGCATAGAAACCCGAGAATTGGGAGATAAAAGTAACACAATAAATTTCACTTTCTTTATCATCACTCAAATAATTCACAGGAACATCATCATTGCAATCATGTTCAGCCGATAAGTGATGGTCCGGTTGAAATACCTTACAAAAATAAGAAAAAATGATATAATAATACACATACATAAGATTAAAGGTTTGATCCACAGTTTTATGTTACATTTTAAAACTGCAATGAGTTGTAACAAATTAAGTTTGTTTGCTATATCGTAATTAATCTTAGTGCAAACATACACAAAACACTCCTTTTAGGCAAGCTATTGCAAAAGCCGTTTTAATGACATAGTTGTTTTGCAACATTATTACAACCAGTTTTTTTATCTGACTTGAAACATTTTTCGGTGGTTCTACTCAGGTGCCCGTTCGTGCCTGAAATAATGCACGGAAGGGCACTTGAGGTCTTCCTCCACCAGTAAAGCTGGAACGTCGCGATATGACCTATACTATGTCGATGTGACGTAAAACCCAAAACAAACAAACAAAACAAAATAATATCTGATTATTATCAGCAAATCCAATGTTGCAATATTTAACCGCAAATCTTGTTATTATGGCATTATTTAGTTGCTTACTCGTGAAAACCAATTTTTTTTGCAAAAATAACGAATGTTGGCATAATTTCTGGGATCACATTTTCTTTTTGCATTTTTTTGTTCAACCTTCTTCTTAAAAAAAACACGATTTTACAATACGTTTATAATACATTCACCGTTGATGGATACTTCGTATCATGCCTGATGCATTTTTATGCCATAAGTTTAACACAATCGTGATCTAAAGCATGTTCAAAATAATTTTCAACGATACTTCGTCACTGTTTTGAACTGGTATGATCTTGCAACATACCTTACAATGACATGTCGATCAATGGAATGCCAACCGACAATAGTGTTATTGCAAAGCTCGTTATAATAAGATGATAATTTTGTTGCAATTTCTTAACAACGGATTTTTTTCAGTTTTAAAATAGGAATGCATTAAATTATTCCAGATACCAAACATCAAACATAAATTTTTAAAAAAAGTTTATATTACAATGATATGAACTTACCGTATTCACACAAAAGAGGATGGGTTTCCCCGGAATATGTGCCACCAAAAATGGAGTGCTGTGTATACCCACATGGTATATCATCCCATTGACCATTTTTATACGGTATCAATACAACACAGTCTTCTTGACTAGAGCTTGCATAGTTCGCAATGTGTCCCGGAATCCAATTTGTATACTGCACTTGCATACCTAGATAAGATTATAAAAATGCAAATATTTTGTGAGCAAAAATAATTTTTAACTAATAAGGGTGAAATTGTTAGCTTAAGTTCAAAGGTAATTCCAATAAATAAGGTCAATCATAAATAAACATATTCTTAAACAATTGTACGCATTTGTTTTCAATACAGTTTGACTTTTCAAGAATATTTATTTCAGAGTCTATACGAAATGTAAATGAGTTTTACATAAGTCTCTAACCAGATGTCCAATGAAAATGTCCCTCCGTATTTTTGTCTGTGAGACCAATCCAAACAGCATGATCTGGGTAATGTCTCTTCATAAAGTTTTGTATAAAATTCTGTTCTTTTGAACTAGTTATATACACAAGATGGCCATCTCTAGAGGAACACATTTGTTCAGCTTGCTGCCAGGTGACTTTAGCATTTGGAACAAGTTCGTAACAACTGTGGTCATTTTGAGAAAGTGTTCCCTTATCTCTCTGGGCTTGTAATTGAAGTTTGTGTGGACACAGATCAATGTTACCTGTAATAATTGTTATGTTCATTGATTCAGATTGATCCTTTCAACAAATGAAACATAGGGAAATCAAAATTTGATTTCAAGATTAAAGTTAAAATATTAGATATTACACTCAGTTTACTCTATCAGTAAAGGATTGTTGCACTTAATTTCACAGAATTTATCACAGTAAATTTTGTTTGCGTCATTTTTACGGGTAAGTATGATATGAGAGTAGTTATATTGCTTTAAAAATGTTTATTTTCAAAGTTACCATAAGTTATAATCGATAAGCAAACAGCACATGATGTGAAAAGCCCACGAAGAGCCCACGAAAAGCCCATTGCAAAAAGGTTTTATTGAAACGTCTGTCTGCGTATGTAAATAGTTATTTTTGTACAGGTGTATAAATTTACAAATTTAACTTAATTAAACCAATAATTGGTTTATATTTAAAAAAAACGATGATATTTTACTCACCGTTAATGCTTGTATTTGTCGAAGTAACTTTGGCTGAAAAAAGAATACAACAGTTATTGTCCTAACTCAAAAATAATTTCTCAAAAAGCAAATTATGAAGGAAATAACAAGGCAATAAAATAACAACAAAATAGAAAATGAATATTTCTGCTAAAAAAACAAAATAGCTCACCATATTGGCATATAAATGCATGACGAATTCCATGAAATAATTCAGATAAAGCGTTATCGCCGCCACATTCTATATCGTCCCATTCTCCTGTTTTTGATGTCATATATACACAATCTTCTGCGGCGTGATGCCGATTATCTTTTCGTCCAAGCTTCCAGTTTGTGTACGTTACAGCATTACCTTAAAACATTTATGTAACTCTATAACACTTTTACAAATTCAATTAACATCCGTACGCTTATAGTTTACTGTGTAAAATGTTTTAACTAAACATTTATCATGCTTATTATCATGGTATATAAGTACTACAAAAGCAAAATGAAACGAAATTTAAGTTTGGAGCACATCTATTTTATTTAATGTTGTTTCTGTTTGTGTTTCTGTCAGAATAGATGAATAAAATGATGAAAGTAATGTTTCACATGATCGCATATATAATATTACCAGACGTCCATTCAAATGTTTCCTCAGTATTTCTGTCATTTAGACCTAGCCAAACTGGGTGCGTGAAATTCTTTACTAGGAAATCAAAAATAAAATCTTGTTCCTGTTGGTTTGCTATGTGTATCAAGTGACCACCATGACCTTTACAAATTGTCTCCGCGTGTGACCATGATACTCCTGAGTCAACGATTTCGTAGCAATTTTGTCCAAACTGTGCTAACAGTTCTCCCCTTGTCTGGGCAAGCTGCTGTATTCTTTGCGGACATAATTTCACATGACCTATGCAGCAGTGTAAAACGTGATTAAAGTATTGTCTAGTTTAAAAAATATGTTAGTATGGCATCATCATGGTCCTTTTTAAGAGTTAAAGTGCAAAATAAATTCAAAACAATGTCTTTTTACTTAAGTTATATTCATATTTTAGTTGGCGGCACAAAACAAGCAGAAATTACAAGCAATCATATGCCAAATTTATTTTATCAAAGATCGTAAACTACTTATATATGAAATTGGTAAACTAAATATAACATAACTTAAATTTTGATCAGACGTATATACCAGTAAAACAATTCAAACGAAAAGAACATACATCTTTAAGAAAAGAAAACATTAAATTACCTGTCAGTTCGAACATGGCAGTCGTTTGCGGAAAGGCTGACGTTTGCATTGATAGAATTGTTTTTGTGAAAACCACTGAATTACTTGTCGTTTTTGTAAACAAAGACGAATCGGGAGTCGGCATAGTGGTGGATAAAGATGTGATATCTGACAAAGAAGTATAAATGCCGTGTTAAAAGCTTGTGTCTTGAAATCATTGGTTGAAATTGAATATTAAGCCCCTTTGTATATATAAATTGCAAACAAAATTTAAAAGAATGAGTTACAATCATATTTTACTAATATCTTCAGTATGAACATTGTTTCACTGGTTCGATGCTAGATGTTTTTAAAGAAAAACTACAGCATATTTTAGAGGTTGTATTATTAAAATCACTTCAAGATTGTACGTGTATCTGTATTTCTTTCACTTGTTATTTATTTTCTTTCTTATTTTTGTCTAGTTACATTCTATTACAACTTTGAGCTCAAAATTTGATGTTTAAGCAATATTAAATATCCATAGATATCAGATATTGAGACTGGTTCAAAGAAACATTGCAATATGCAAGAGTATGCTGGATGCCTATTTAAGCAATAAGCTAAACATAAACTTTTTGTACAGTCAATAACACTTTCTTTGCTAGATGAACTGTATATTGCATACTTTTCTGGGCCTAAATCACGTTTGTGAGTGAGGAAAAAATACAATTGTTTTGTTTATTGTTGTGCATATCTATGTTTCTTTATTTCTGTCTACGATTTGTAACCCTTTTCGAATATGAAAGCAGTTGATATCTATATGGTGTTTAGAAAGTTTACGAGAACGTGGTAGTAATCTTTTATAGTTCAGTTTAGCCAAAATGTTATCAAGAATTATACCTAGATTGCATAGATCACAAAATCGAGGGCATATAATCCGGGCATGCTGAGTATCACTGCAAACATTTGTAACGGTATTGAGGTAGGCACAGTCGATTTTATGATCGTCAATACACGATGATGCTGAAAATATGGATTTGCAGTGCAATATTTTATGTGATACTTAAATAATGAAATCTCCATTGTAAAACTGATCCATAAGGCATTGCTACAAAGATACTTATTCAATACACTAAGAACTCTTAGTAAAATGTTAAAATCAAATGGATTGTATAGAAAGTGCTGATCTTTGTCGGCAAGCGAAAAGACATAAGTACATGTAAACATACACGCGCGAACGTACTAAATATTTAAGACTAACGCATAAAACATTGATAAAATGATCATACGTTTGAAATGTTCACAAAGTGGTTTATTGCATTTATCTGAGCTACAACACTCATGACAGTCATTATTTTGTCCTTGTAAACCACGGCCAACCAATCCTGTCTCAACTCCTCTATGAGTACCACATTGCTATAACAGAGTACAAAAGCACACACGTTCAACGTTATGGCAGACTTCTGAATAAGGTAAAATTAATTAACGTGGGTGGAATTTATATCAAAATCATAAAAGCTGAAACTTTGCTTATCACATGTACCATGTTACTTCTAATATTTAATGTTAGCTCTTATTTGTGTTGCTATTTTAAAAACAGCTTACTTTGATCATCAATTATTAAACCAAATGATGTAAATCAATAACGTAATTCAAAATTTAAATTGTTATTCACATGTTTGTCAATACATCCTAATGAATACATCCGATTCTGTCCAACTGTTGACAAATCATGGAAACATGACTGCAAAAAGCAAAAGTTGAATTAAATGATAACCTGAGTCATTTAATTTGATCCAGAAGCAGTGATTTCGAAATAAAAATATATACATATGAACGGTATAACAATTTTAATTATATTGATAATATACTGTAAGGTAAAAGTGATGTTTGAAACGATAAAATTGAAATACACAATTTCAGCTCTTAAGCATTAAAAATCATTAAAAAATATAACGCTTTCTTAGGAAAGTTTGGATACACTTGAATGTTGACCAAAGTTTAAGGATTTGAATATTGCAATTACATTCTGCGTAAAGTTAAATATTGTACAAACTAGAAGATAACTTATATAATATATGGCTTACTTGACCAATGTTGCAATGAATAACATCGTTACACTGGTTGATATTTGTTGAGTTGGAGCATTTATAACACTCCAGCGATGCTATAAATGAAGAAGTACTAATTAATTAGTTTTCAAAATAAAGAGATATTCAGGATTTTACACAAAAAATATTTGTATGTTTAGATAAAAACAGAATGAGCTAATTAAATTCAATAAGTAAACTGCTGAATTTTAATCTACCAGCTTTTAAAATAACCTATATAACAGATCATCTCTTAATATCATTTTTACTATAAAGCACTATCCTTTTGATCCAAAGAAGCATACGTGAGAATCTTAATATAACTCGCTTTACAATGTTTTCATGCGAAAAGATATTCAAATAACATAAACTAACAGTTATTAAAAATAATAACTAATGTAAATTCTATAAAGAATAATAAGCGTAATGATCAAAAACATGTTGAATAACTTACCTGCATTTCTTGTATAAGCAAACAAAATGAAACACACTTTGAGTGCTAAAAAATAAAATATGTATTTATACAAAACGGTAATGCTACGAATTTATGTATTTACTAGCATTTTGAACTGTAAATACGTTATATTGATAGTAAGAATATAAAATGGTCGTTTTACATTAACTTTTTTTATGAGACGACATTATGCATGATTTTAAGCCAGTAACTTTTCTAAATAAGGATAAATGTAAATATATTGTATTATCCTACCATTTCCTAACAGTTTTCAATAAACTCCAAAGATCCCACTACTAGACATTGTACAGTCACATAAATAAATTAGGTACTTTCAAAAGGATACGTTTCTTTTATGTCTCCATTACTAAACACGACTAAGTTATCGTGTCTTTCTTAACATTCTGTAACAGGTCTGTATTGTAGCTAAATAACATATATAGCTTAATAACGTGCTATACAGACAATGTTAAATAAATGGCTTTTTAAGTGACATGTATAATTCTTATACTTATTGTTTATTATTTTGTGTTTTGATTTTTAAACACCAATTAAGTCAAAGAAATGCTTTTTTTTTTCAAAAGCTTTTCAATTATTGGTGTAATGTTACAATTTCCACAAATTTAGCCTTTTACCTGAACCATCTTTTGCTTTCTTTTTTGTTTTGGTAATAAGTTTAGTGATAGTGATATAGTATTTTTTGTATGGAAGTAAAAACACTACTTTTTTGCATTTTACTACATTCATTACAAAATATTTCACATTCAGTGCTACTTTCTCTGGGCGATATGCATCTGAAGTGCTCTAAAACAATTATTTGATTATTTAAAACGTTATAAAACTCATGTTTACTCTTTCTAACGAAGATAAAATCAATCAACTCGTTTCTTATTATCAAAAGTGGTTTGAAAATATCAGAAAATGAATATATCAAATTAGATTTATTGGATAGTTCACGACTGTTGGTGATTTCGAAAAAGAAATCAGAAAAAAACTCATCTTACATAAATGTCTACAAATTATTCGAATACTTACGTACCTAATATTTTCATATCCATTTTGATTTGTCTAAAGATAGATAAGATAAAAAATGCACACGACTCATGACAGAAGTAAAGCCACTTGATAAGAGAAGGGTTTTGAAGGGGAGATAAAAATTGAAGTTCAACGGCTTGTTTCGTACACTTTGCTCCCTAGATGCATTTATTAGCTACACATGTATATAAAAATACCATTATTTAAAGGGACTCCACTGATTTGATGTAGATCTATACTAATAACTTCTGTGCAAAATTTCAGATCATTATCTCGCTCCGTTTTTCCAGAATGATTATTATAATAGTGAAAAATTACAAAAAATTGAAAAGCGTTTAAACGCTTTTCACTCAAAATGGGCTAAGAATAGCACAAACATACGATTTTCATTTTATTTCTTGTATGTTTTATTTCTTTATATTTCTTTTTAAAGCGCTCATGTTTATCTATGTGAAAAATTAAAATGTAATGTTTTTTTGGCTTATAAATCTCAGTGGAGTTCCTTTAATATCAGTTGCAAATTACTTAAAATATCAATATAACTACATGTTAAAACGTTCATAAAGCATATTCATTATATGTTTATGTCATGTTGTATGACTGAGTATACGACCTCCTAAAATATGCTTACCACTTACAGAAATAGTAAGTATAGTAATATCAATACAGGGTCACTATCTTATAATACTTACAATTTAAAGTTCTTGATAATTTAACAAAGTGGACGTATATCATAATGTAAGTCTAATTGCACAAGTTTAGGTATTGCAGTCTGATCTATAGGACAAATAAGTAATGTATATTCTTACTATAGTTTTTTTTTAAAGCAGCATGCCTCCAGATTTATGCAAAATCATGACAAATTCTTAAATGTATTTAAAATGTCAAATTATGTCGAGTGAACAAAGAAACTAATTCACACATTTCAAAATTTGGAAAATTATCAAACAGGGGTCAAACTATGCAAAAAAAGCCCTTACTGCGTTTGTCACGCAGTAGAAATATGGCGATTAATACTACCGAATCGGTCATTAGTTGCATATAACATGTAGATCAATTCTTGAATCGGGAATATTTTTTAAATTATCAGATTTTTGGTATCATATTAGGTGTTTTGAATCTATGATGAAAAGATCGAAGCCTTTTTTTCTATTGACCTATGCCCTAAAATGACTTACGTTTGTCAAATTAAGAAGAAAAAAAAACATTTTTTTTTTTTTTTTTTTTTATAAATTTGTACTACAAATGTACTTCATTAAACCCCTAGAGTTTACTTAACTTGCATGAATGACATTATTGAAAAATGTTGAAATAATAACATTCCAGTACAAGGAGTCTTTAAAGTGTTTAATTTTAATAAGATGGATTAGTGATATTTAAGGGATTCTACAAAAGCATTTTGCTGCTAAGGGAATATTATGTGATTAAGACATTCACAAGTAATGACCGAGAATTATGATCTTAAGTATACATAATGAGGTTATGGATTAGATTTTGAGGGCAAATTGTATGCACCATAACCTAAAATTTCTGTCACTTATTTCAACAACTTTCATCGACAAACAGCTTAGAATTATGTCAAACACAAATAACGGATCTTTCAAATTCGGCCTTCTCCTGTCCAACATGCTTTTACATTACTAATTTTTACGATATAATTTTAAAACGCATAGCTCATTAAAAGAAATGATACATTTCTACAAACTATATATATATTGAAAACCCTCAATTGAAAATAATTAGTTCACACGTAATTTCAAATATTTTGGAAATCCGAACTACTGTAAAATATCAGTAAATAACAATTTATAAAAATAAATCATTCAAAGCTTCAAATGTAAGGTTTAATCCGTTTAAATTTTGTTGTTCAATAGTTATTTCCTCAATAAGTGTTAAGTCCATAACCTGTATCCATACGGCTTACAGACTGATTGTAACATGATATACAAGAACAACAAAGAAAGGCGGTGTTCAATGAACGCAACACCCACACGACCCAGCAACAAGGACCAGCGGCAAGGAGCCCAGGAGCACCCCAAACAAAAACAGGACAGGGCACAAGGCAGGGCACGGCCATGATAATCACTTTAAAAATACATAAAAGGAAATAAAAGTAACCGACAAGGAAATAAAATTAAATTAAATAATTATAATTATATATAAAGACCACGTTTTATTTTCAGTTCTATTCTATAAAGTTATGTCATACATAATTTCAAATATGAATACTCAAGTTTGAGAAAGTTAGCACTCTTTATTCACTACAAATCATTTCACAAGAGACTTCATCGATACAGTCTTGTTTATCCAATAAGTGATGGTTCCGTTGAAATACCTAAAATCATAAACGTAGAAAAGATATCAACGGTACATGCATGTTCTTTGATTCACTGTCCCATTCAAATACTGTAATGCACGTGGACACATTAATTATTGTTGTATAGTTACATGAATTAAACAAACACTTTCTTTACACATTTCTATTTTCAATGATGTCAATTTTAACATTTAATTATTATTTAGTAGATTTTATAATGCAACGTAGTTTTATATAAATCTGATCAGAAAATAAAATAAACCATGAAAAATGGCTTTATAGCGGATTTAAAAAAGTTAAAAGGAAATATGGAGTACTTACTGTATTCACACAAAAGTGGATGGGTTTCACCGGAAGAAGATGTGCCAACAAAAATTGAGTGATGTGTATGCCCACATGGTATATCATCCCATTGACCATTTTTATACGGTATCAATACAACACAGTCTTCTTGACTAGAGCTTGCATAGTTCGCAATGTGTCCCGGAACCCAATTTGTATACTGAACATTTTGTCCTAGACATATTCATAGCAATGCAAGGTCTGTTAAACTACTTCTTTATAGGAAGATCAAAATGTTGGTATAATTTTAATTGTAATTATATTTATGTAACTGAAATTGCATAATATAACCAATAGAGAAAAACTAATAAAATGAATAATATTGCTTGTTCTTTCTGCCACATAAAGAGTTGTTATAATTTATTTCTAGGCTTCTAGCAAGCAAAGAGATACTTAATGACATATGACAGACAATAAAGTTTGAATAAACGTTTAATATGAATGGTCAACCTGATCCCCAATGGAACTGTCCCTCCGTGTGTCTATCTGTGAGACCAATCCAAACAGAATGATCTGGGAAATGACTCATCATAAAACTTTGGATAAAATTCTGTTCTTGTGAACTAGTTATAAAAACAAGATGTCCACCTCTAAAAGAACAAATTTGTTCAGCATAATGCCAAGAAACTTTTGAATTTGGAACCAGTTCGTAACAACTTTGATCATGCTGTGCAAGTGTGCCATGGTCTCTCTGTGCTTGTTGATGAAGTCTTTGTGGACACAGGTTAATGTTACCTGAAAATAGTTTAGTGTAAACTGAATAAAATTGAAGAAAAATTCCTATCTTATTTTTTAAATTTCCAGTACACAAAATATTCTATATTATGCTAATCGGGCCAAGTGTGTTTTAAAGTCATTTAAACAAGAAGAGGTAAACTTTGAAATGCCTAACTTTTTGTGTTTGTTTGTTTTGGGTTTTACGTCACATCGACACAGTATAGGTCATATCGCGACGTTCCAGCTTTACTGGTGGAGGAAGACCTCATGTGCCCTTCCGTGCATTATTTCAGGCACGAACGGGCACCTGAGTAGAACCACCGACGTTCCGTAAGCTAGCTGGATAGCTTCCTCACATGAAAGAATCCAAAGTCCCTGTCGGGATTCGAACCCACAGCGGTGAGGGGCAAGTGGTTTGAAGTCAGCTACCTTAACCACTCGGCCACGGACGCCCCAACTTTTTGTGTAACCAAATGAGAAATATATTGAATTAAAATGTAACCTTAAAGTTAAACTGGATATTAATTTATATCAGGTAAATAGTTCTTCCTCACCAGCATTAATTGGATTTGGTGGAGTAACTGCGGCTGAAAGAAGAATAAAAATCTTATGTATTATTCTTATGAGAAATAATATTTAAACAATAATAATGCGTTGACACGTTTCAGTAAGCTTTTATTCCACTTATCATTTTTATCTAAATAATTTATTTTTCCAATTTTTTTTAATCATGCATGAAATGTTGCTTTTAAAATAGATGGTCATCATTTTTTAAAGAAAAACGGCATTTGGCAGGTTTAACAATCTCTTTTCACATACAATGCCTTTAAAATTTGTATTTAATTGATACAGTATTTTCCAAAACCACTTTCACACTTCTTCCGCATTTCAAAATTGAAAAAATTCATATATCTGAATTAAATTGAATTTAATAGTATTTTATAAACCAAAAATATCAAACCATATTGACATATGAACGCATGGCGAATTCCCTGTTTTATTTCCGATAGACCGTTATCACCACCGCATTGTATATCGTCCCATTCCACTGTAGTTGGTGTCATAAATACACAATCTTCAGAGTTGTGATAACGATAATCCTTTCGTCCAGGCTTCCAGTTTTCGAACGTAACAGCATTGCCTTGAATGCAGTTATTATTGCATTATATGATAAAAGATTTATGCCATTTTATAACAAGTTTGATAAGCTATGTGTCATCATATTTTTATCTTATTATCGTTTTTCAACGACAATTTTTAAAATAAGTGATATGCAATGAAAATTGAGAATATTGAAATGTATTCTCGGTAAATATTTGGTTTGTGTTATAATTGTGAAGGTGTTAAGGTGTCAGCATTAATGATTTACACAAAAGTGATAGTTTACAACAGAAAAAAATATATTACCTGACGTCCATTCAAAACTTTCTTCAGTGTTTCTATCATGCAAACCCAACCACACTGTGTGCGTATGGTGCTTTACAAGAAAATCAAAAATAAAATCTTGTTCCTGCTGGTTTGCTATGTGTATCAAGTGCCCTCCATGACCTTTACAAATTGACTCCGCGTGAGACCATGATACGCCTGAGTCAACGATTTCGTAGCAATTTTGTCCAAACTGTGCTAAAAGTTCTCCCCTTGACTGAGCGGCCAGCTGTTGAATTTTTTGTGGGCATAATTCAACATGACCTAACAATGGAATAGAGATACATGTATACGAAAGTAATATGAATAGAGGAACAGGCATCATGCTTACTTTGTGAATTATCATTTTAAAACTTCTTAAATTAGAGAATTTTTTAGATCGTATAATACGATATTAGTGTTGCGTTCACGGAATGTTACGTGCCCTTAATTCGATCATTTTCTTGTTTCTGGTGGTACTAGTTTTCTATTAAAATACTAGTTCATCACCCATGAGAAAGTGGTATCTGCATTTTAATTTCTTCTTTAAGCAACTATTTGTTGTATGCAACCTTTATTACCACCATCGACATTTTAAAAATCTCCTACAATATTTTCACGTGTACATTTTGTGTTAGAGGACCAATTGCGGCTTTCAATGGAAGAATGTCACGAACATATCGCCTTACAGGTTCTATGTCGTTAGAACATATTGTGTTTATGTTGTTTAGTTCAAATGTTCACCTTTGAACAGGCTTCATCAAAACTGCCTACAAGTATTCAATTTTGTCGTATTTATTCTAATTTCACATTAAATAATAACATTTGTTTTTAATATACTCATACCTTTCAGAAAACTTGGTTTTGGGGTGGTTATTTGTAGTGTTGCCGTAGTCAATTTTGTCGTCGTCGTTGTTGGTAAAGTAGTACTTGTACTCTGTGGTGGTGGTGTGTTGTTGTTGTTGTTGTTGTTGTTGCTGTGGTTGTTGATGTCGTGCCTGTGGATAATCTTGTGGTTGCTACTGATGTTGCATCAGTGGTTGTTGTTGTTTGTGTAGACGGCATTGTTGCTGTAGAAGAAGCTGTAGTAGGCACCGTTTTTGTTGTTTGGGCTTGTGTTGTTGGTAATGTTGATGGTTCTGTAACTGTTGTTGATTCTGTTGTTAATGCTTCTGTTATGGTAAAAGTTGTAATAATGGTGGTTGTTTTTGTCGTCGTTGGTTTTTGGGTAGTAGCAACTACTGACGTTGTCTGTGCAGTTGTTGTTGGTTCTTCGGTTACTTGTGTCTTTTGATGTTTGAGGCATTGTTGTTAGTGGAACTGACGTGGTCGATACTAAAGACGAAGAATATTGAATATGTATTTTTCTATCTAAAAGACACCTTGAACAAAAGTCCTTCAAAATTATTAGACGACACGACCCCCTAACCATCCCACCATATGCGGTTCTAAGGAATTGAGCCTGGGTCTCATAGGGACAGCCGGAAATTGCAAGATATGAGCTAAAATAAACCAGTTATCTTTTGCCCAGGTAATGTATCATCTCTGGCTAGCCAATCCAGCCGGGAACAGCCGGACTAGCCATAAAGTGTTACGGCTGCGCCGGCTGTCTTGGTAACTTTATAAACATGTTAACGCACATAATGAGTTTTTCTGGGATACTAATTTTCAGTCATTGTAAACAACTGAAAATTGAAAAGATTAAGAAGACTGGTCTACTTAGATACCTGGGCATGGTTGAATTCTGCAATTTTTAACGTCTGTTCCATTTCCGGAGCAGTTTAAACCTCCACTAGTAGGCGCTGGGTTTGTACATGTTCGTATTCTACTCTGTTTTCCATTTCCACATGTATTGCTACAAGAGAACCACTCGGACCATTCAGACCAGTTTCCATCAACTAGAAAGAACATTAAAAAGTTTAGGCAATGCAATATGAGAGAAACATAGAGAAATCATGGATACTGCATGTACAATTAAAGCATTTTCATACTTTGCAACAACTCTAAAGTCAAATAATTTTCTTTTTGTTATAAAATAGCATATTAAAAATTTATTAGTGGCATTTATGTAATAATATGCACTTTCTACTTTAATGGGTACATATTCTCTGTACAGACTACAGAGTTATATTATGACAACAAGATTTTACAAATTACTTTCACCTTTTATTGTTTAGTTAACAAACTCAAATACTAAATTATGAAACAAAAAACGATTAACCAAAATATTATCATCAATCATACCTAGATTACATAGATCACAAAATCGAGGGCATATAATCCGGGCATGCTGAGTATCACTGCAAACATTTGTCACGGTATTGAGGTAGGCACAGTCGATTTTATGATCGTCAATACAAGATGATGCTGAAAATATAGAGCTGTAGTACAATATTTTATGTGATATTTTAAATATGAAATCTTCATTGTTAAACTGATGAATTAACCATTGTTACAAAGATTCTTATTCAATACTCTAAAAACTCTTGGTCAAATGTTTATAAGGTTAGAAACTACATAGTACGGAAAATGCTGATCTTTGTCGGCAAGCTCAAAGACATATGTAAATGCAAACATACACGCGCACGCATGCCCACGCATCTAATATATCAAGTTTTAGGCATAAAACATTGTTAAAAGTTAAAACAATCATACGTTTAAAATGTTCACAAAGTGGTTTATTGCATCTATCTGAGCTGCAACACTCATGACAGTCATTATGTTGTCCATGTAAACCACGGCCAACAAATCCTGTCGCAACTCCTCTATGAGTACCACATTGCTGTAACAGAGTGACAGAAAACACACAATTATGCAATGATAGACTTCTGAAAAAGACATATAGATTGAGCAATAAATAACAGTCATTAAAATTAAAAATACAAAATGATGGTCAGTCCCTTTATTATGTTATCAATTATGAAATTCAATATCTAAATTGACTACTTAAATTGTTATTTACATGTTTGTCAATGCATCCTAATGAATACATCTGATTCTGTCCAACTGTTGACAAATCATGGAAACATGACTGCAAAAGAAACGCAAAAATTGAATTAAATGATATTATGAAATTAGACTGGCTTTGACGCAGTAAGATTATTCGTCAAATATTTATTTCTCTGATATTAATTCACAGTACTCAACTTCCTTTTAATCAACGCCATTACGTTTCATCCACATGCAGAAATTAAATAAATGAAAAATATGCACAATCCATTTTTAACAGTCCTTTCATATTTGCATCGAGCCTGTATTTTATTAAAAGATTCTGCATCCTTTTGTGGTTCTTACACAAAAGTAAACCGAAGTCCTAATTAATCCGGATCAAAACTTGAATATTGCTTAAATTCTATTGGTCTTTCTATGAAATAACCAGGGCCCTAGGTTTGTACATACCATCTAATAAAATTCATACTACATTGAATCTCATATAGTAATAAGTATGAGTGTTTCACTCTTAAACGTAGTGTTTTCGAAATAAAAATATAGCCATTATTATCTCTTTTAAAAAAGGTTAAATTTTTACTTATCCACTATTACATGGGTAATATACTGCCAGGTAAAAGAAAATATTTGAAATAATAACACGAATATACACAATTTCATTCAGTTAGCATGCCTTTCAGCACTGATTAAAATTTAGAAACTATACGTTTTCAAACCTTTGAAATCGACTGATATAACAGAAAAATGTCAACAAATGTTTAAAGATTTAAATATTGCAGTAACATTCTGCTGAATAAATTAAAGATTGTACTAACCGGAAGATAATTTATATAATACATGGCTTACTTGACCAGTGTTGCAATGAATAACATCGTTGCACTGGTTGATATTTGTTGAGTTTGATCATACATAACACTCCAGCGATGCTATAAATTAAAATAACTCTACTAATATTTATATGTAATAACAATTTATAATGATTTTACAAAATATGTTTGTTCAAATAAATGCAAAATGAGCTAATTTTATTTAATTATAAAACTTTTAAATTTTAATCTGCCACCTTACAGGAACACGTACATAATAGAGCATCGCTATACATATTTTTCTTTTTACTTTTAATCACCGTGCTTTTGATCCGAAGAAGGAAAACATATAACTCTCTTTACGCTGTTTTCATGCGAAAACATATATATGAATAATCTAAATAAAAAATTCTAAAAAATATCAATTAATGTAAATACATGTACAATAAAGAAAAAGAAGCGTAATTATCAAAAAGTATTTTATAACTAACCTGCGTTTCTTGTATAAGCATACAATATGAGATACACTTTGATAGCTGAAAAGTACAATGTGTATTAATGCATACATAACTGTTGTTGTAACAGAAATTTCTGTATTTGTTATTTTTAAAATTTTACATACGTTATGTTGTAAGTTACAATATAGAAAGACTGTTTTACATGAACTCGTCTTATAAGGGGGCGTTATGCATGAGTTTAAGCCAGTAACTTTTTTCTAAATAAATAGATAGGTATAGATAGGTAGATAGGTGTTCTCACTCTTCAAGACCTGTGATCAGCCTTGGATCAAGGGGAACAAGTAGACGCCATACTACTAGACTTCAGTAAGGCATTTGACATTGTGCCTCACCAACGACTCTTTTCCAAGGTGATCTCTACAGCATCAAGGGGACAATCAGAAAATGGATCGAGAGCTTCCTGTCTGACCGCAGTCAACAGATCGTTGAACGCCACTCGTCTGTATCCTTCCCAGTCAAATCACGGGTACCCCGGGGCACAGTACTAGGTCCTTTACTGTTCCTCCTTTACATCAACGACCTACCAATGTGCGTGACTTCCACCAGCCGCCTATTTGCTGACGACGGCCTGATCTATATGAAAATCAAATCAGAAGCTGACGCATTAGCCCTCCAAGAAGACCTTGATCGACTCCAGGAATGGGAACGCAAGACGATGATGTCTTTCATTCCCAGCAAATGCGTAGTAATACACATCACCAAAAAAAACCCCATCATTTATACCTACAAGGTCCACCATCAACTCTTCAATCAGTCAAAAGTGGAAAGGACGTTTGTGTCAACATCGCAAATAATCTCTCATGGAACATACACACAGAATATACCATCAAGAAGGCCAACAGCTCCCTTATTCCTTAGAAGAAACATCACAAGCTGCCCACAAGACATCAAGGCCCAGACCTACAAGACCCTTGTAAGACCAATCCTGGAGTACACAGACACAGTCTGGGACCCACACACTGCCACCAACACCAAACAGCTGGAAGCTGTCCAAAGGCAAACTGCGCCACGGCAATGATAGCAGACCTAGGCTAGTCAAGTCTACAGCATCGCCGCTCCAATGCCAAGCTAGTAATGGTCTACAGGGTCACGCACAACCTCACAGCCATCCCAGCTGCACTGTACTTCCACCCCAGACACTTGGTGGCCATGGCTACGGACACATATTCAATGTCCCATTCTGCAGAACAGACACCGTGAAGGTCTTCTTTATACCTTCGGCTATCTGCTTGTGGAACCAGCTTCAAGATCACCTAGCCACAGCAGTCAACCTTGAGGCCTTCAAGGGAGGACTAGTCATGGTGCCCTTATATGCCGGAGTTGATTTTATTTTTAACATGGTTTTCTTGCACTTATTTGCCGCACAACACCTTGTACATACACCCTGTACGTTAATGCCCGGAGTGGTTTATGGACAGTATTGGAAGAAGAAGAAGAAATATGTATTGCTTAAATTCTATTGGTATATGTTCTATATATAGTATTCTCCTACCGGTTTCTCATAATGATAATTTCCATTTCGGTGCTACTTTCTCATAGTGTTATACATATGATATGCTCTTAACCCATTTTTTAAACGTTAAAGAATTCTTGTTTGTTCTTTCTATCGAAGGACAAAATAAATCGTTTCTGGTAATGTGCCTTTAATCCGAAAATATAAGGAAATGAATATATCAAATAACGATATTTCAAGAATGTTGATGATTTCAAAAGAGAAAAAAAAGAAAGAAAAGAAAATAGAACATCTGGTATAAATGTTCACAACAAATTAAATACCTACTTACTAATTATTTTCAAATCCATTGTTATTGTCTCGAGATAGATAAGATAAAAAATGCATACGACACACATTATAATTTATGTCACTTGATAAGAAAGCCAAAATCATCAAAGGGGCGATAATATGAGTTCAACGGATTGTTTTAGACGAATAAAACGTTGACTTTGCTACCAACACGATGCATTTAATTAGCTATAGATAAAATACAATACGTTATATCGGTTGAAAAACATTTGATTTATAATCTAGTTTAATATTATAATTTGTTTAAACGTTCGTTATTTATATATATTCATTTTAGCTTTGTGGCATTTTATCGGACTAAGCATACAATCACCTTAAATATTGTAATACATGTAAAAAAAGTAGTATTCTTTATGTAATATTTCCAAAAGGGTATGTCATTGTCGCAATCTTATAATACCTACATTTCAAAATACTTGATCATTTTACAAAGTATGCATATATTATAATATTGAAAAACAAATGAACATGTTTATATATTGCGAAATGATCTATTGGATAAATCAGTAATGAATATGTTTTTTTTTAGTTTAATTCATTACTTTGACTTTTATCAATTCACTTGCCAATTTTGTTTGTGTTGTGCTTGTGTGGCATTCTTGAACCATGCGGATACGATAACAATCAATTACCACGATTCTCTGAAGATGTTGAATTCTAATTAGGTGGAATAGTTATGTTAAAGGGATTCTATAAAAGCATATTGCTGCAAAGCTCAGCAAGAAAATGTTACATTCCTTCAAACTATATTGTGATAATACTCCAGGTCTAAATTCAAATATTTTGGATATCTGAACAATGTATACTATATATACAAGAGCGATCCGTAATCACATGTGTCGCCTTATGATGGCCAATTTCATGTTGGGACAAATTTTGTGACAGACGGAGACAGACAGACAGTGCACAACTAGACTTGGTACTGATCATTCCTGTAAAGTTTGGATAAAATTGCACCAGTAGTTTATGAGGAGTAGTCCATACAAGCTTTTGCGTATCTGGCAACACACAGAAAAAACACCTTTTTATCAAACGGCCATAAATCGGCAAAAAATCATTCAACAAGAAAACCCGTGCAATATGCGCAAGGACTTGAGCTACAGATCAATCCTGAAAAGTTTCATTGAAATTGCATTAGTGGTATAAGAGAAGTAGCCCGGACAAACTTTAAAAATAAAAATTATTAAAGGGCCATAACTCTGACAAAAATCATTGAACCGAAAAATGCTGACAATATGAACAACTAGACTTGGTACTGATTATTCCTGTAAAGTTTGGATGAAATTGCACTAGTTGTTTATGAGGAGTAGTCCGGACAAGCTTTTGTGTATCTGGCAACACACAGAAAAAAACACCTTTTTATCAAAGGGCCATAACTCGGCCAAAAATCATTCGACCGGAAAACCCATGCAATATGCGCAAGGACTTGAGCTACAGATCAATCCTGTAAAGTTTCATTGAAATTGCATTAGTGGTATAATAGAAGTAGTCCGGACAAACTTTAAAATTAAAAATTATTAAAGGGCCATAACTCTGACAAAAACCATTGAACCGGAAAATGCTGACAATATGAACAACTAGACTTGGTACTGATCATTCCTGTAAGTTTGGATGAAATTGCACCAGTAGTTTATGAGGAGTAGTCCGGACAAGTTTTGTGACGGACGGACGGACGGACAGACAGACAGACAGACGACGGAGAAGTGATCCCTATATGTCGCCACTACTCCGTAGAGGCGACACAAAAATCAGCATATAATAACATATTATTCAAAGCGTTACCATGTAAAGTAATCAATTTAAAAAAAATGTTCAATATTTTGTTACCTGCATCCATAAAGCCTACAGACTGATTAAACAAACCTTCAGTGATATTTAATAGACCACGTGATATTTGTCGGTCCTTTTCTAAAAAGTTATGGAACAGATAATTTCCAATATGAATACTTAAGTTTGTGAAAGATAGCACTCTTTATTCACTACAAAACATTTCACAACACACGTCATCAATACAATCGTCTTTAACCAATGAGTGATGGTCCGGTTGAAATACCTAAAAACGGAAACGTAGAAAAAATATCAATAGCATATGAAATTTTTTTTATTCCCTTTCACAATAAATATTGTAAAACAAGTTCATAAAATTATAATAGTCAAATATCAACATGAATAAAACAAAACTTTCTTTACACCTTTCTGCTTCGCATAATATAGATTGTAAAATATAATCATTTTTAGAAAAATTAATAATGCAACAAAGTGTTAAAAACAGATAATGAAAAAGATTATATAAATTGGCATAGAGGCGGTCTTAAAGACATAACATTAATCAAAGGGCTGCAAGCTCTGTGGTATTTTCTTTGCAATCTAAAAAGTACAGTATATATGTATGTATTTTCCTGTTTAAGTTTATTTGTATATACTATAATTCATCCTGCAGGGCACCGAGATGCAGCGACTGTGTTTACAAGACAAGCTCTGTTATAAAATTCAAACATGTTTGCATATCATTTACTAGTAAAAGTAAAAAAAAAAGACCGGAGGAAAAAAAGTATAGACTGTGTTTAGATTTTTTACTATAACAGTTTGAGTTTGATACATACGGAATTTTGCATGACTAGAGTTGCATTAAAAAATCATTTATTTTCATTTTGTATGACAGCAAACACTTTATCCTTGCATATCGTGGCTTCTACCTTAAAAAAGACACTTAAATAAAAAGTTCCCCTCGGCTGGGATTTGAATCCCAGACCTCTCACACCTTAAACGGTGGGTTACCCCTGCATTTCGGGGAAGTTAT